ACTATACTTTGTTCGTTTTGATTTAAGTCAGATTTAAATGGCTCATTCGCCTCACGTTTCTGTCTACGCTTTCATCTACTTGAGTGGATAAGCGTAATCAAAATTTAGCGGCGATAATGCTGTTTATTACTAACACCAAGTTAGAAACCTTTAGTAAAAAATTAGTTACGAATCGTAATTATTGTTATTCAGGTAAAACCTGTCCAAAATAATTGGTTCCCTTGGTGTTATGCGCAAAAACATGTGTTTTTACCGCTGGACGTAAATGGCACTAGATAAAGCAGACAAATAAGACATTTTGGCACTAAACCTTTAAGAACTAGTCCGGTGCGATGTGCATCCGTTCTCAGCTTATACTTCAAAATTATTCTGGGAGTGATTTTTTGTTGATGGTATACTGGTATAAATTACCGTGTCGAAAGTGCATTAGTAAGTCTTCACTAGAATTTGTCTCCGAAATGCAGGTTTGAGGCTAATTAGCTATTTCTTGTAAATGAGCATGGAGTTCAGAGTTTACTGAGCTTATATTTCTTGTCCGTCAGACTTTTACATAATTTAGCAACAGAAATGTCGGTGACTGAGGCAGTCGTGGTGGATCATGAACGCAGACAACGAATAAAAAGGCACCTCATATTATATCTTGGGTCAGTTAAAAACTCTCCATCCTCATAGTATCCAGTTTACTCTCATTTTAGGTCTCCCAGCGCAAATGACTTTTCCTTGATACATTGTGTATATTTTAGTTGTTCTGTACTTATATTTTTTAACAGTACCATTTTGAACGCTTCGGTATGTTATTACTGGGAAGTTATTGTCGGTTATCATTGTTAAAAAAACCAGTGGCACAAGTATATACTGAATTTCCTGGAATTCACAAAAATGTTACTGTAGTGACACCGGTTCCCGATCACTGAATCTTTGAGGCTGAACAAACGATCACTGAGGAGACTTAAATTAGACGTCAAACACTTGCACAGGGTCACCAAATTTCGACGCGGGAACACTTAATCAGGACAGATGGCTCGCCTTTACAGGCATAGTCACTCTATGCATGCTCTCGCCCTTTACGCTATGTACATTATTCTATTACCACATTGAATGTGTGCTGTATTGTTTAATTAGAGAACACACTACGACTGTTCCGATTTGTTGAGTCAGTATAGGAAATGATATGACCTATGAGTAACGTCTCATGAATTGGCTATACATATCATGACAAATCCACAATATTAAATCAGGTCTTGTATTCTAGCAGCGCGAAACTGTCCACTAATACTGTCCTCAACCTCAGTCTCATAGTGCGATGAACTTGAAATTCCTTATCGATATGAACTTTTATGAAGCACACCAATTGTGAGACAATAAAGTGTACCATTTTAGTTTTGTTGATTATTCTGTACTCATTCACAAGCATAATTGAGGACTCTTAACTACTGCACTTTGTTTATACGTGCAACTAATTAAATGCATGTCTAAACCATTGGATTAAATCTCTAGAATATATCTAATGAAGATGTTTGCACGTTTTGCGTCGATCGCAATATACTTCATTCGGTCGTCGTACTTCAAACTTTCTTTATGCAGTCATGGTACGTTTAATATAAGACTAACCTCAAACCTTTCGAATATGGCTTTTTAATATAGCGCTATTGCAAGTGATTATACGAAGGGTTCAATAAGGATGCATACGAAGTTGATAGATATTTTGCACCAATGAAGGTTATTCAAATTCGTAGAGGATTAGCTGCTAAAAATTCTGCATTTCAAAACCTGGTTCGTGTCAATAGTCAGTGGCTGCAGAAACTACATCTATAACCTGACCGAGCTAGATAATATTGTGATTCGTAGCTCCCCTATGTAAAGTATACTTTTTAAAAGGAATATGTCAGTTTAAACCAACAGCCTCTTAAACCACCCCCATCATTTTTGCCTATCCATCTTATACGAGTAGTGTTCTGGAAACTTTGATGATCAGATAATTCCTAATATATATGTTTTTTTACCTCTAAAAGACCTGCTTATCAACCAAATGTCAGTGCAGTAAAATGTCACATTGGTTGTCAGACGGCCATGTTGTTTGGGCTACCGACAATGGAAACTGTCGCAAAATTAAACATCACTAAACGCTGATAAAAATATGACGACAAAAGACAGAAACAAGTCTACCGCCATAAAGTACCTATAATATTGATGTAACGCAACAAGGCGGAAATAAATGCAATTGATTTTCCCACATGTAATTATGTTCTGAAATTTTAACTCATCTGCCGAAGCTCATCTGTTTTATGCGTTTTTTAGAAAACCACTAAAGTTTGCTTGTTACGTGACGATCCACTGAGAAAAGGGTTTCCTCAATCAACCTGCATTTACTCAGTTTATTTATATCTCCTGCCAAGTTCTGAAGCGCATTGCAGAATAGATGTAACTGAACCAACGTGAATCTTAAGCTGGTGCAGGAAATAAAATTGATGATGTTTGAAGTGGTTAAGAACATGGATGGTGAACTAAGGAACATTTGAACAAGACGGAATAACTAGCTCATTCAGGTGCTGCTTTTTTATCAAATATATTATTCTGTTCTTAGACTCAGAAGTCTTTAGCATCAGTTACTGGGTGTCACGATAGGATGAATTTGTATAAGTAACTACGAGACTTCCACGTAAAGTCTGATAGGTTACGAAGTCACATTATGGCAAATGTACACTTGCGGAACAGTTTTGCTATTCATATACTTAACACAACCGAGTGTGTTATTCGTACTAACTGATGATTCCTTTGTACTACGAATTCCTAAATAAGATGGATTCATTGGTGCTGATCTACTTTTATTTACATTTAACTGTACTAATTCGAAAGTCCTTGGTACGTACAGTGATTCGAATAGCCTCTGATAATCATATCGAAGTATAACAATAATAAAATTGCCCAAAACCTACTGCTTAAGGCCATTCATAAAACGGATATGGGTAAATGGGCTTCCATCGATGTTGAATGTTTTTAAAGGCGGAGTTTTCCAAAGTACAATCCTCAATCCTTTTCATTTTTTCCTTTGCGTAAATGGCTTATCGGTTGTAGCAACGCCGTCTGTGTCATTCGTCGCCACTTATATCAATATTGGTAGATACACGCACAGCATCTCACTTACTTGCTTACGTACTTCTGTTACCCTACGTGTAGCAGCATATATCATCCCCCAACATTCTCCACTCAACTCTGTTCTGGACAATCCTTTCCAGTTCCTCCCGGTTATTATTCATCCTTTTCATGTCTGCCTCGAATTTCCGGCTGAATGTGTTGTTTGGTCTACGTATATTCAGCTTCCTTTCAGGATCCCAAATTAGCGCCCGCCTCAAGGCGCGGTATGATGACTTCCACAATGTTGTGTCTTATCCACATACAGCATTTTTTTCTAAATTCCTCTTAAATGATGAAAGCTGGTTTGTTGTCTCCCACAGTAGGTTGTTGTTGATGATATCTGGTCAACGGATATTAAGTATAATGTGTGGATAGTTATTTATAAATACTTGTACTTTTTCACGATGGTTGTAGTAGTCTTCAAAGTTTCAGCTTCGCACGGTAAAACTGTCTACATCTTCATGTCAAAGATTTCCAGTTTGATGTTGACTTTCAGATAGTTATTTTGAGTTCCATATGTTGTTCAACTGTAGGAATGCTGTACTTGTTTTGCTAACTATAGCATTTACGTCACCATCAGATTCTTCCTGTTCATCGATGATGCTTCCCAGGTACGTGAAAATTCTTACCTCATCCAGAGTTTATCCATCAGGTGTTAACAGGTCAGTGTTCTCCGTGTTGTATTTGAGGATCTTCCTTTTTCCTTTGTGTATACTGAGGTATACTAATGCGGAGGCTGCTGCCACACTCATTGTCTTTATCTACATTTGTCCGTGTGTATAGGACGGAAGGGCTGGGTCATCTGCCAAGTCCAAATCGTCCCACAGACTCCGAGACGTCCATTGTAATTCGTGCTCCACCTCAGATGTCAAGGTCTACATAACCCAGTCGACTACCAGGAGAAAGAGAAGGGGAAAGTAAGCAGTCTTATCTGATTCTAGTGCTCACTTGGAACGCGTCTGTCAAATGTCCTCCATTCAAAACTTTTTACTATAGTCCGTCATATCAATTTCGGACGATTTTGATGATGTTGACACAGAGTCTCAGATAGAATAATATTATAGGATGAAATTAATTCAACAGATGAATAGATGTGTGAGCAGTTATCAAAATATAGTCACGCAAATAAATAACAAAAGTCTATCATAATACTGCACAATAATCGAGATTAGGTTACCTAAAGTGATGGAGTAAAAAGACAGAAATTATAATAAGCAGCAACATTAGAACTATGACTCACCGTCAGCGTGCTTCTGCCAAAGGTTTCAGAGTCTGATGAATTATCAGTTAGTCATTTCATCACCTGGACGAAAAACTGTCCGACTTTTGTTGGGCCGCATTTATAATGTTGGATTCAATAGTAAGTCCCTGTTTCAAGTATGAAGTACATAATGCTAGAACAAGTTCAACGACGAAGGATCAAAGTGGTATTAGGACCCATGGATACATTTTATCGAGATAGACTGCAACTCATCAACCTTCTTCTGTTGTCTTACCGCAGGTTCCGAGTTGATTTAGTACTGGCTTAGAGTATACTGAACGATGATTTTTGTGCTAATATGTTCTATCTTTTCCTCCCATCAAGGTCTCATTACTTGAAAGGACATTTTAAGAAAATTCACTATCAGGACCGAATCGTTCATTTCTGGAGTTTCGTTTCGTATATCGAGAATTAAGTTACTGGTGTTCTATACCAGAACATGTAATATCAGCACCTCCTTTTAATGCATTTAAAGTCCAAATGAATCTTCACGGCACTACAAATTGCAAGGATTAATATAAGTTGACTAATCGCCTTTCCTTACTACTGAAGACTGTACGGTTGTTATAAGTCGTTTTTGCAACTCAAATCATCCAATAGCATAACTGAACGAAATCTGGCAGTTTTTCAAATTGTCTGATCAACCAATCGTCTTGCAACGGTTTGACCTTTAATTACTCGCAACCTCCATCAGTGGACGATACCCCTAAAGCGTTGCCATTACGATAAATAAGGTAAATACAGCAAAACAGTATTATCTTTAGCCTCGTTTGAAGTGCTTCACATTTCATTCGATGTTCAAGAATTACTTAGTTATCAACTGGTTTGTATTTTTTAAATCCAATAATATTACTTTACAAATTAGAAATCAATATTAAGTTCTAAGCTAGAACTTGAGTTCTAAGCATGAGAAAGTGTGATATGTGTTAGCTCAAATGTTACAATTCGAGACTATGTACCTACCCGGGATCCAGTTTTCAGTATACTGGCTATAACCCGGTAGCATGTACGTAGCCTGCACGTGCAAACTAATGTAGTGCTACATTAGAAATTCACTTTTACCCTGAATGTACTAATAAAAGCTGATAATGTGAGTTCGTATCAGGTACTTCAGTAGGTATAACATGCTGAGAAGAACTGATTTTTAAATAGAAACGTTCCTCTTGGCTTTAGTGCTCTGTGTGAATGTTTTGCTAGATTAGCAGTTTCCCATTATGATTATGTATTCGCCATCATAAATATATAATTTTACTTAAGTTCTTTTCAGAAAAGTCGCACAAGTCGTATTTATAGGGTGTTGTTATTTTGTATTAGCTAATGTAAAGTGTGCTTCCTCTGGTTTTGCAGTTGGGGATTGAGTTATTTCATCGGAATAATTGGTTTGCGCTCTAAATGAACATAAGAAATAAAGTAATGTCACTTGTTTGATTGGAATACGCTAGTTGCACTCCGTAGTAGCATTATCATTAGGCGTGTCTTCTGAAAATATCTTCATTTTAAAGCCAATTTCTGAGAGGTCTAGTTGACACTTTCCCTCATCTGTCAAGGCGAATGTGAGCTCATAACAAAATTTTAGGCACTCACTTCACAATTGGCATCAGCTTTTTGTTGAATATCATTGTCCATTGTTGTGTTGATGATAAAAGTCTCCAGGTCAAACTGTCTATTTTCATGTTTCCAGTTATTGCTTGTTAGAAGTAAATGGTTGTATATGGATTCACAACATACAGCCACTGTCGTTAATTTCTATGATTGCCACATCTGTGTTCCTAGGTTTCAAAAGGATGTTATAATGCTTTCACTAGAATCTATCATTTCATTTAAACTATAGCATGGAAGCGTCTTCAGAAGCCACGAAGAGACGGTATATACCTCTGTCCTTCCAAATCCTTACTCTTATTTAGTCATACAATCCATAGACAAATATTGATCGAAATCTAATCTGAATGTCTGCTGTAGTCCAATGTTTAGCTTATAAACCTTTACATGGCAGTCAATTTGTCTGTCATACACAGTGTTCGGTAAGTAAGTCACATGCCTGTTTTTCGAATTATAAACCTGTCCATCTTATAGACTCTAATAAGCTAAACATATATATGTTTTAAAACATGATGGTTTATTGTGACAGTATTTTATTGGTCTAATTTTTGAAAATCTTTTGTTGTTACTTCAGTATGATAATTTGTTTTTTATTGATAGATGAATTTTAATTATTTCAATACTGTTCTCATCTTTTTGGCGAATTTCACTGTCTTTGTATTTGGGGCTTTCCGCAATGAACATTGTATCCTTATAAATGTAATTCTATAATCCGTTGACTATTATTTTAACTATGCATAAGGTTATCACGTTTAATAGTTAAGGTCGTCTGCGACTTCTTCATTGTTTATCAAAAGTTCCGTAATGCAAATTAAGCTTCAACACACAATATTCACTCACAAATTAAACAGAAAAAACGACTGAAAATACTAGCTATGATAAACTTAGTGAACGTTTAGAACATTAGATATTATCCACAACTATTTAGCTGTTATTTTTTTCATTTGATTTTCGGTCGTCGATGGCACCACTTTATGATATCATTTGACATGCTCACGGGTGCGCGAACAAACCTATTTGGCCTAAAATTTGAGGACAATATACACATATATAGAAGCATTCATGACCTTGAGGCCCCAATGCGAGTGCCTAACCTTCAGAATACTAAGTTGTTATGCAGTTGTGTACACTCCTAGCTTCAATCAACTTCCGGTTCCGCGGTGGTGTTTTTGTCATGCTAAACATAGTTGTAATTTACTGTACACTGTCCCTCAAACATCCTAAAAGCCCTATATACAAACACCTCAGGCAGAGTAAGGGCATACAACCACCTCTCTTCATTGTTCCACTCAAGTGGTGGGGTTAGACAGGGTTGCTCAATCTCACTATTCCTCTTCAACGTTGCCATCGATGGCATTCTGGAAACAGCTCTGGTGGATGTAAGTAGTAGCGGTGTGGATCTGTTGCCTGGAGAAAGACTTCTCGACCTTGAGTATGCGGATGATATTGTCTTACTGTGCGATAATGCCCAAGGCATGCAATCCGCACTTAATCAGTTGGCAATCAGTGTCCGTAGGTATGGTATGTGCTTCGCACCTTCGAAGTGCAAAGTACTTCTACAAGACTGGCAGGATTCCAATCCTGTACTCACCCTGGATGGTGAGCAGATAGACCTAGTCGAGAAGTTCGTGTATCTGGGTAGCTGCATAAGTGCTGGTGGGGGTGTGAGTGATGAGATCAATGCACGTATAGTGAAATCCAGAACGGCTTATGCCAATCTGGGCCATCTTTGGCGCCTTCGTGATGTTAGGCTGGCTGTAAAAGGTCGGATCTATAAACTCGTCGGTGAGAGCAGTTCTGCTCTATGCTTGTAAACCTGGCCTCTCCGAGTTGAGGATGTTAGACGACTTTCTGTTTGATCATCGTTGTCTCTGAAGGATTGCTGACATCCAGTGGCAACACGATGTTAGTAATGCCGAGGTTCGGCATCATGTGTTCGGGCGCAGAGACGATAATCCAATTGGTGTCACGATCTTGAAACATCGACTTCAGTTGCTTGGAGTGATATGATGGAAAGAAAAGTCAATTTTAGACTGATTTACTCATGAGTTTAGTTCAAGATTACTTCCGCTTTTATTCAATGTAATGATTACTCAATGTATTATTTGTTTTCTTTTCTCGTATGATATTTTATTCTGTATAATATGCGATATTCTTGTATTCGATTGACATGAACTATGCTCAAGTATATGGTGTGTTATAACTCTAAGTATTTTTCATATATGTGATTACATTCTAATTATTAATCAAAATGGGTGTACAATCAATATATAAATGAGTGTATTTTCTACTACAGTCGCCGTCGTGTTTTGGGGTTAATAAATCATCACTTATACCAGTCTTTATGTTCTTACTTTCGCGTCGTTGGGATTGCAGAGGTCCATCGTTCCGAGTATAAGTGATAACCGTTTCCGACATAACAATCGGCGACGACCGGTTACAAAAAATAACATTAAAAGATCCAAGACAAGCATTGAAACGACATGCTATAACATGAACATGTTCTACGAATTTCGCCCCAGAGAATTCCTCGTGCATTATTTGCCGACGTTGCGACTGGTTGGAAAAAGCGGAGAGGTGGTCAGTTTGTAACATGGTGTCGTGGTATGAAAGAAAACTGAAAAGGCTTGCTTCTGTTGGTCCCTCCCGACTCCCTGGCTTGAGTTTTAGAGATGGTGCAACACAGTGGCTAGAGATGTTATCAGATATGGCTCAGAATAGAAGCCATTGGCGATCCTACTGTAACCTTTTACTTTCTTCACAAAAAGTGGTTGTAACTTTGTTAACTGAAAGAACTTCTGGTTGTACCTTTCTGTCTCTCCTATTATTATTATTTCACTACCACACACTAATTTGTGGTCATTATTTTTTTAACACACACCTTACATTCTTTATCTCTTTCCATTCTCATTGTTTTGTGTGGTGCATATGTATCTGGTGCCTCCTTGTACCAATATTTATGTGTTCAAATAAATAAATAAAATGGGTATACTGCATTTTGGTTGCTAATTCAGTATACATTAGTCCATGCTGTCCAATAGAAACAATTATTATATAGCTCTACCTTCATTCACTGTTACCAGTAAGCATTTGTTTCAGAATTTATTTCTTTTACTCCACATATCATAGCTTTTCAACTAAAACTGAGAAATCTATTTTTAACCTGTTCGTCGGTTGGTATTCATCTATTTTTCAGTAGAGTGCTCGGCGTAGGTATTTGTTCGAGTTGAAGACATCTTTCATCTTGGAGTAACTCCGGCTGAAGAACTAGGTATCAATGAAGAGCTGTTTCATACTAGGCTCTCAATGTGTGAAAGAGTATACCAATACAACTCTCTACACAAAACTGAACCTAAAACTTTCACATCTCGATTTTTATTTAAAAACAATGAAATTCCCAAAATTTCGTCGGTATTTCCACATATTCAGAGAGCTAGGAAAAGGTTTAGACTTTACAGCCTGACAAGTACAACATTAGTTTTTGAATAGCACAGTAAAATATTTGACAAGCCATATTCTTATGGTTGAGTAGAAAAGAACTCTTAAGTATATTTTAGGATGTTGTTTTATCAATAACACGATCAATTCGACTATCGTGTCCACACATACTAATCACTACTTTATTAACTCAGTTGAATATCATTTATTTCGGATTCTATGTTGCTATCACACTGTTGTACTTCATCTCTCTATAAGTATACTCCTCTTCATTACAAGCCATTTTACTTAATTACATAACAAATTAAAGATAATCAAGCCTCTTTTCGTACGAAAAGAGAAATTCATGCGACGGAATTGGCTCGAATACTGACTGAAGTACCACCAGGACGACAAGATGATGTCGCTCTGAAACTTTTTCAAAACATTATTAATGTAAGCATTGTGTGTTTTTCAAATATTTTTCCCTCCTCGTTTTTTATTTTTGGAAAGTTACTGTCGCATTATATTATTTAGGATTTACGTCATGGTTGATTTGAAGGAGGGAAGGACATCTGTAGAGTATTGCTATCCTCTAGACTTGAAGAGTTTAACTTCAGTCCTATGATTCACTGGCCTTTATTTGCTGAAGAGGAGTCCCAAATTTGAACAAAACTACTGTTAACTGTTTCTTGGTCTTCAATAATACTCCAACGGATATTGGTCCGTTAAGAAAGCTGAATTCAATTTAAAAATTCACAAATTGCTGCTCAGTTTTAATTGCCCATTATAATATTTTCTTAAATGTTCGACCTACACGCATGTGTGTATATTATATACAAGACTAATAGGAATGGTATATTACTTTCAACTATTGAGATCACAGGGTATTAGGCCGCAAAACATGGTCATTAAGAGTCGAAGATACTCGTAAGCTACTAGTATTTGACCACAGATGCCTTATAAATATTACTGGCATCTGCTAGGATCACCGAGTAAGTAATAGTGAGGTTAGACGCAGGGTATTAGGGAATGATGGTAAATCAGTTGATGAGGTTGTGATTCTTCATCGACTGAGATAGTTGGGCCACGTGTTACACATGCCTGAACACCGATTATCACGACGCACCATGCTCACTAGCGTTGGAGACGGTTGGAAGTTAGGGGTGGCCAAACCAAAACGTGGCATCAGTACACAAAGTCACTAACTTCTGGCCTGAGCCAGGTTGTTAGATGCAGACTACTTGGTTGGGGTCCGCGTGACTATCGTAACCAATGGTTGGAGACTGTGGGTGACATGGCTCAGAATTCATCACGATGGTGTAGGTGTATACACTCTCTGTCTTTCCTTAAACTAAGAGATTAAAATCGCCTCATATCTTTCTACGTACTAAATCTTTCTTCCTTTACTATATCTTTACATGCAATCTTTCTTTTATATATTACCACCATTGAGTTAATTGCTTCCATGAATTCGGTGTACATCTTGTTGTGCTAATGCGATATGGCAACTAGAACTGATGCATATATATGCCTGGTCGTACGTTGTAGCTGACTGACTAATTGAGATCACAGGTTTGGACCCCACTCCTCTTTGTATGGTCTAGATAACCAGGTTACATTACTAGTCATCATTTATTAGAGAATTATTGTTACTCACATAGACAAGTACACCAATCCGTACTTGGTTACTGACTTGAAATGAACGATAAAAGTTAAATCTCTATTGTGTATATAGTCATAGGTATTGATATATTACCCATTTTATCCTGTTAGCTTGTTCGCTTCATATTAAGTGTACAGTAGACAATCCTTGGCCTGATTTAGTCAGGGAGCAGTCGATCAATAAAAACAAATCAGAGTTTATTTAGTTATTTGTTGAATTAATTTTTGTCAACTCTCAAAACATATCCTAGTAAACACAAAATACTATAATTCGGATCTATTACTAATAATAACAGTACAAGTTTCTCGAGTTTATTCAAATTGTCGTTTGTTTTCATGATGTTCAGTAGTATGTTTGGATTTTTTCATCTCACTTGTTTCTTATCGGCTGAATTTACTGTGTATTCCATCGAGTGTTAATATTTTATAATTTAAACTGAATCTCTGTTATTATGCCCACTCACTCACTAGACTGTATAGTACCAACCATTAGGGCAACAAGTTCAGACCCTAACTTCTTCCTACTTCAGTTAGAGGAGACAAGGGTAGTAACAATAATCTGTCTAAACAAGATTAAACGAGCGTTCTTTAATACACATACAAGTCAACTAAACACAATATCTTTACTTTGAAAACTTTGGTCTAAAAAACTATAATTCCTCTACAGTTTCGCTTAATATGATTTTAGTTGGGATGATACATATACTCATTAATATTGATTTTTGCTTCAAGTTTATAATTTCCTTTTGTACTCGTCATGTTGTTACTATTACTTTATTAGATTCTCCAGGAATCACGCAAACTACTAAATAATACTGATGTTAATTCAGAGACTAAAAATGATACAATAGGACAAGGTAAGTATATAATAATAATAATAGTAATAGTTACTGGCAAGTTTTGTCTAGCAACTAAACTTTCATTGTTTTACTTCACAAAGTGACTTTAGTTAAGCAGCCATTGACGAGATTCCTCAGCATTGTCATCTACAACTCTGCTGCAGATTGAACGAGCTGTTAACCTTCAAATCAGCGAGTTGGCATCCAGTGACTTACATTTCTGACTTCGGTCAGACTAAGACCAACCCATGGTGCTCAACTAAAAAATTCAACAATCTTCATAACCCCTATTATACTGAAGAAATTTGAATTTTAACATCATTAGTTCTTTCATAAGACATTGATCTTTACATTATCGATTCGCTATTATCTACATAAATGATCCTTAGACAAAGATACGTTGGCGGTGACCATTCACAACCAAGGTCATCAGAACAGGCTGCTTTAACACCCGGCGAATAATTAAAAAGCTCACTTTTATATGAATTCGGCTTTAATAATGTTGCTCAGAACAACAATCAATGTTCGACCACTGAACAATTTCTCTAAGAAAACTCAATAAATCGAAAATTCTCCACTTACTACAAATCTCTATCAATTTGGTATGCAAAATACACATCTCTTCATCAGGTGCACAAGTATGAGCCACACTGTAATTTTGAAGGCTAACGATACTACTTAGTTATCCGAATCGAAGGAAATGACACAGGCTTCGAAGCTAGGACTTAGCGGCTAAAATTCGAACGCCGTAACCACTAAGCCATTGTTTTCCAAGTTTATATATATTGTGTTACGTCTTGAAGCCCATCAAATATCATGCAACAAAATCTCCAGTTAGAATACCGACTTATATGACCTTGTTCCTGTGCTAAACCAATGACACATCAACCAGCACAACAGCCTTGCGTCAACTCTGAACACTTATCAGTCCTTTTGGCCTAACTCCACCCGTTGAGTCCAGGACATAATCCCAGCCTCCACTATATAAATCGTATATTTCAGATATGCGTATTTTATATACAAGCAGACCCGATCCCATCAAACCATAAAATGAAAAATAATTATTATATACAAAATCAAGCCAAAAGTGGTTGTGAGTGTGAAAGACTGTAACTAATAGATTGGGAATAACTTAAGAATAGTAAATCGTATAATAGTGGCCAATCAGTCAAATGAAAGCTTATAATAAGAGAAATATAAATATATATAATCTAGTTACTTAACAATTATACAATAAGATTACATATATTATAATAACAGTCCATAAGTAGTTCCCAGACGTTACTCATAATTTAGTCTTCTTCGGACACAACAAATTCCCTTTCCATCGAACTTCATTATTTATTAAAATTATGTTATAATTAGTTATTGTTTATTCGTTTCCTTTTGTTTTTTCTTAAAAAAAATATTTATTTTCAGCTTTTGCATTAACTTTTGAAAATACAGCTGTACTATGTGATTTAATTTTACGTTTTCCTGATGTTTATCATTCACATTATGATGGAATTAATGAAATATCTATATTATTAAAATGGTCATTTAATTTATTACGTGAATCACAATTAATGAGTAAATCAGATGAAAATATTTTACATTTAACTGAACAAGAATTAAATTTTGTAATCAGAGATTCAAATTATGTAAATGAGTTTAGTTCAGATCAGGTAAATTTATAAAGAAAAATTATTAGTTTAGGGGTTGTGGAGATTGTTAAGTTTTTTTATTGAGATCATGAACCGATTGATGATCCCGCGAGCAGGATCGTGGATGCGCACTGCTGAAGAGTCATACAATAGGACGAAACAGTCGTCCAGTGCTTCCAGGTTTTCAATAGTGGTCTAACATCAATCGGTTCATGATCTCAATCAATAAAATTATTATCTGATTTATTTTTCAATTAATTTGTTCGTTGTACAAACGTAATTAGGAATTTTTTTATATTTTTGGTATGAAATATTTACAGTACACGTTATGTACTAATAATAATCGTTAGAAAACCAAGTACAACTGAAAAATTATTTTGTGTTTGTACAAAATTTATCATCTTTGAAATAGTAGAGAAGATCTGTAGCTCAAAATGGTAATTTTGTTAAAGTTACGTTTTTTTGAGCTTGGTAGTTTAATTGTGAAGTTTTCATTGTCATTTTAGACAACATCATCAGCGCGAACTTAAAATAGAAGTGATCTGTTCAAATTTCTCCACTTATGACTAATAGCTAGTTCTGTTTCTCTGATTTTGATCATCTTCCCCTCTGACCTGGTTCAAATTTATGCTGATAATGTTGTCTAGAAAGGCAATAAAGGCTTTATGATTAAGGTATCCAACTCAGAAAATTCAGGGACACCAAAAAGAACCCCTCAATAATGTGCTTCCACGACCCTTCAGATCTAGGTACCGAATAAGCTATCTTCAGACCGCTGATTTGGTTATCCAATGGTTCAAGTATTTAATTCTAGTAGGTTCGCTCAATACTAGGAGACCATTATCTAATACCATCGGGGATACCTGTTGTGTATCATCAGCATTATCAAACTTTGAAAGACATTCTCGAAGTTCTATTCAGTAACAATCATTTGATGACTCTTGTTATCGGTGTAGAGGGAAGAGTGATGCTACTTACAAGTTGAACAATCTCCGTAAATTATCTATGTTGTAAAGGGGAATATTATTCTCAGTTAGAAATTCAGTATTTCAAAAAGACTAGTTTATGACTGGTAAATCAGTTATTTTTAACATTGAAAGTGACTAGCTGATTGACATATCAACATTGTTTAATGTGATATCTTTTCTAGTAGATATGATCGTGAATAGATTGTTCCGTTTGTTTCTTTCAAGGATTGTAGTGCAGTGTCTAACGAACCCATTTCATATGCGTTAATTGAGACGATTGGATAATATTTTATTGGGTCTTTACACATGTAAATTGAGACTTAAAACAGAGTTGTATCGGAATTAAAACTCTTTAGTACATATTATCCGGTTATACACGTATTCACTTGACGAGACTATCTCTGTGATAAAGTGTGTTAGCTGCCGTGCTGAATATTTTCAGCTCAAATCGCTGAGTAGTTATGGAATCCCCAAAGAATTAAAAATATCCAGTGAACCTAATCAGCAATAACTAAAAATCTTAAACTTGAAAGGTTAGTTTGTTGACTGAAGTAAGCCAGTCAAGGACATAATTATGTTCAAAACTAGTGTTCGTTGATCATTCGAAATAGTGTATACTATTAATTTTTATAAAAATAGATTGTATCATACATAAATTACAAGACGTAAAATACAAAAACAACGTAATTTGACATGTCTTAGCGACTGATTGTCATCAGAATACAGATTTTGGTGGTCTTTGAGCACAGATCAAGGAAAATCTATCCTTTCAAGTGAAATCATCAAAGTGCGTTACATATCAAACAAATTGATTTCAAATTTAGTGGTCTAAAGTTGTGTTAACTACAGACCTAATGATATTAGTTAGTTCAATTTTATCTCGAAACATGGATTCACATCACTGAGTAGTAGTTATGATAAATGGAAGTAATTGTAGCATTTAGTGTAATACATGAACTAATAGTACCCAGACCTGTCCATTACATACTTTAGTAGTCATGAATGTACCAGGGAACGGTGATGATGAAAAAACCATACACACCTGTAAATGTATTGTATCGTAATAAAGTACAAAACAATCGTCGTTTTATGCAAACATATCAGTAATCCCACACTATAACAAAACAGCTAAGCTACTCAGTTTGTGTGTGTTGCTTGATTTTCATTGGTATCTCCCCTAACTGACTATATTTTGTTTTTCGTTTAAATTTGTATCAGTCTACCTGTTTCTTTTCTTCATCTCGTATTGTCGCTTTATTTATTTGTCTATTTTTTTATAGAAAATGATTAGAGAGAAACTGAGAGCAGAATCAGCACGTAAAGTGAAAAAATCAAGTGTTAAACGTGTCAAGAAACCTCGACTTACACCAGTTCGAAGTGAACTCTAATAATTTATTTAAATATCCCCTATACATATATGTACACAAATGCATATGTATATATGTTTATGATTTTTTTCTAATTTTCCTTCGGAATTCACTACTTTTGATGATATCATGGGTGGTGCTCTTATCGACATTATTATTATTGTCTATAAATCTCTCTCTGTGTGTGTGCTTGCCTAGTTGAATGTAGTACTATGCAAGGAATTTCATAGTGTTGATATCGAAACATATCTATCATCAATTAATAATGAAGTTTGTAGTCATTGATTACAAATAACTATTTTTGTGTCTGTGCTTGGGACACTGAAATTTCTAGTTGTTTTTACCAATTCAATGTTCTGATAATTGGAGAACATAAACACACAAACTTACATTCAAATATTGTCTGTTTACTTTTTGGGTTTTGTTATTACTTGTAAAATTTGATAAACTTCATTTAACTCTTGTCACTCTTCAGTGTACTGTGTAGTATATAACTTGTTGGATTAATATAAAATTCTGTTTGTTAATTGTTTCTGTTTTGTTTTTTTCTTTTTTCTTTTCCTAAATATCTACTTGTTTTGTGAAATAAAGTTTCAAAATGCCCTCATATTTGTTCCGTTTGTCAGTAACGTAAAAGATATTTCGACGAAGAAAAATTGTTTGTTAATCATGTTATTTTCTAAAATGTTGTACATTCACATCTATAGGTTAATATTATAAATAAAACAGGAATTTGTTGTACCGGTAATGAAGTTTTCCAAAAATTAATCTAACATATTTACAAGTAAGAAGGGGTTTTGTGGAGATTTTAGAAATTTCACTAGTTGAAATCATGAGTTGAACCCAGAACCTTCAATCTCGCGCGCGAATGCTTAACCGCTAGATCACTTAGCCGGCATCCAACGGTGTTGATGTCTCACTTCAACCAATCCACGAAATTGCACCACCGTACACCATTGTCTTCAGTGAGTTGATATCTCACAACAGACCTGGTTGAACTCCACTGGTCACGGTTTCTCACTAGAACTCCAGGAAATACCTCTTGAAGCCAGTCATTAGTAAGCATATGATGATTATTATCAGAAAGGGGGTTTTGTAGAGATTGTAGTAATTTTTTGATTATTGGCATTGTTTGTTCGAATCTTCCCATTGATGCTCAGAATTGTAATTGGTCAGTCTCTTATTGGCATATGTGCTAGTTACCAACCATCTTAGTTTACAATGGTATTTAGTTCTTTTAATTTATACGAAGGCTGATTATGATAGTAAGGAGCTACCAGCTCGACATTCCACCTATGATCGTGTTTAATGCTCCGGACCAATAGATAGATGGCTACTATTAACATCACTACAGCTTATGAAACAAAAGACAATTGATTTGAAAATTTGTAGGGTTTCTATTTAAAAGTGTTAAGTGTGTTAAGAAAATAAAAACGGTTTACGTAAGTCAAAAGCAGCGTTAAATATGAAATGTTCTCAAAAAGGGTCTTAATATGATTTTGAAGTTGTTATACAGGAGGATCTAATATGTAAACGAGGCTTGTAGTTATTAAAATATATGTTTAGAATTCTAATCGATAGATAGGATTCAGTGATACGATATGGTAGAGATAGTTAGTTCCATCATTTTTTTTTGGTGTTGTTTTGTTTCTTGAGCTAGATGGTTTGATCGTGAAGTCTTCATTGTCTTTCTGCACAAAACTTTCACACAGAAGTGAGGCATTCGAGTTCCTCCACAGGTTACATATCAGAAGTCAAAACAGTTACCCAATAGAATACTCTTTGTTTTATAATAACATAACATGTCTTTATATAAAGTATTGAACATAAGAACAGACACGATTAGCAGTCATTTAACAAATACACAAGTGGAGAATATACTAAATGCAGGTCATTCGCACCTAATTGTTAGGCGTAGTTCACTACTCGTCATATTAGATATATACTATACGGTAAATGAATCTCTAAAAATCAGCTAACCGAAACATTAATTAGTTTCATTTTTGTTCATTCAAAATTATGATATATCGATCTGTATAGGTTCAAAAGTTGCAGAAACTAACCTATCGGTCTATATCTAATAGCCTTGACAACAGAATAATTTCATTAAATCCCTATATATGTGTAATGAGCACAAAGTTAATCATTGTGTCACGTGGTTTAATATTTGACCCGTAAATAATTTATCCTAGTCCAGATAATCATTTTTATAAACATTTTGGTGAACTATGCATGTTTTTTTTTGTTTTTACAAACAACAGAACACAAAGAATGAAATAACAAGGTTTTGGCCACTATTATTCAAAAGTAAGTTCATAGTATGTTCTTCAAAAGAGGTTCCCGTGAAGCACTATCATGATAGTTTAATGTTTAAAACAGTTGACTTTCAACCAACACTGGAGTACCTAATTTGATTTAGGTAATTAAATAGTTGCCAAACAAGCAGTATTAGTCAAAGTTGAGTACCTAAACCTATACTTGATGAATTAGTTACCTCCAGCAGTCATATTCAACGACATGTTTTCGAATATCTAGAAATGAGCATTATTTTGCTGAAATATACAAATGAACCTTAGCGACCAAATGAAGATGTGGCATCATTATATGAAAGTACTGATTACTGGTTTCAGCCATGTTGGTTGGCACAGACTACGTTGTTAGTGTCTTTGTGAAAACTACGATTGAAAACTAGCGATTTCATATGGTATGGGTCAGAATCGCTGTCACACTGAGATAGGTACGTTCACTTTTCATCTTCCTCTCGATCTTGAGGTTTGGCATTCATTCATACGTATCTTCTTTTCACTCCGTCTACTCTAACCATATACTGAACATTTAATCTTTCTCACTATCATTGTTACTGCAATAATTTCAATTCCTTTAGCATTCGTCTTGCTAATTAAGTCTCAGATTGATAATATGGTATATAGATTTGTACTAACTCATATTTAACCCAGGTTCTATGTTGCTTATGTCTATAACCGATTACAAATGCACATTCTCGATTAAAAATCAATATACTGAAAGCAAAACAAGTTCAATATAATCGAAATACCCAATTGTTTTCCTTTTAATTATATTACCCACCTCAATCTAGTATTCAATAACTGGAACAGTATTTCCATTTAACTGTAATCTAATGAAAAATCGGTGTAACTATTGCTTATGGACGAACCAGTCAGATATAAGATAATAGGTCTTAGATTTTGGCGCAAAATTCATTCATCCATTTGGCTAAATGGAGTTTTGGCATTATAGTTAATGTCAGTTCATGATGAAAATCCCAAATCTAATTGCTAACCTTAACCATCAACTGTAAATCATAATTCTAATTTAAAGCAATTAGTTCCTTTTATAAAATTTTATAATTACTCACAATGGTTTATAACCCTCATTTAGTCGTAGTTGTTAGGGGGATACTCTCAAGGTCACTTTATCGTCGCTCAAAGGTCGTCCATAAACTATAGTCTCACGGAAAAATCTTCTTAAAACATTGTACCACTTGTCCAGTTTTCATTTTGAAGAGAAAAACAAACAAAGTAACTTGAAAAATAAGAACTGTGCAAAATGTTATTTCGCTTTTAAGAATTTCCAAATTATGTTGTTTAAAAAAATGAAAATCTTTTTCAGAAATATTATTTGCTTCTTCGATATGATACCAACGGGGTACAGAATCTGCTGAAGTATATATGCACGTATTAACTTTGTACACTGGTGGTGTATATGTATCGACTACTTATATATATGTATCCACAGTATATTTATAAATACGCCTACACACCGGCCTTTCATTTTTTTTATTATTCTATTATGTATACATTAGTTGTCTATATCCCTCTAGTTTTCTGAGTGTTGATCAATAATGGCACAAAATAACTGTACATATTAGCACGATTTATGGACAGTCAATATTGTTTCTTTGTGTGATTGCTATTAGTTGGTATTTAATTATCGCTTTCAGGATTAGGCTGTGTAAAATAAACCTTTTTATTGACTGTTATGATAAATGGAATGCGTGGTTTATACACGTACACACCTTTGATCGTATGATGACCGGAAGAATTCGACAAGAAATCATAGTCCCTGAACAGAAATATTGATATTGGTTGATGGTCAGTGCGAATTCAGTAACTAATATCATGTTTGTCTAACTCCTGTGAAACTTGACTTTTAATCATCATGTCACAGGTTCAAACCTATTTTCATCTGCATACATTTAAATAATCGTGAGATAATGGTAACACTTTTATATGATTGATAGTGATTATAGTATGATGATGAAGATTTGTAGTTCACTTGGATGCTTTTGATGGTGTTGCGTTAAGTGAACCAGATGGTTTCACTAGCTCAGCTTTTATTGTTGTTTTGAATGGAATCATCACGTACAAGTGAGTTGTGTAACAATTTCACATACGCTAAGTCTATCTGTTCTGAAAACATTATCTGTCAATGGTTGTTTTCAAAAGCTTATAACAATTAATTTTCAATGGAGTTCTTGAAGTAGTGACAGTAATTAAATCCCTTGGCTTTCAACCAGTAAACCACAGGTTCAAATCTTCTTCTTCCTACTTCGCAATCAGATACCATCAGTGGCTCTTATAAAAATGATCTGACTTAAAATTGAGTACAGAAACCAATACTTGGTTAATAAGTATCATATCAACATGAACTGTGACATAAATAAAGTTAATACAATTTACCACCAAGGTAATAAAACTTAATGTTGAAAAATAAGGAAAATCATAAAGAAATTTATTTGATGTTTAAATAGCATGATTTCATATTGGCTCAACTTATCAGAACTTATATCTACACAAGGAGAAAAATGAATAAGATGAAAAAATAAGTCGTCAATCATACCTGTTTGACAACTCATTAGATGTTTAAACTTAGTAACTTAGTAGATAATGAGATCGCGCATGAAGTAATAAGTACTGCATATAGGTTTTAGTGTATAAACATCAACACTAAGATGCGGATACAACTAGCTGACAAGTCCCGATAAAATGGAATATATATCCCTAATTGTACTGTTAGTTACAGTCTAAATAGACTAGAAATTTGTAATTAAAGGTAACATCTTAACAATCCACACAGGATTCACATATACCAGAAAAATATTGATTAATTAACGTACTTAATATCAATAACAACGGGAAAATTCAAACCTTTATAAAAAGTTAGACAGATTATATAACTTTGCGAATGAACTCGTTTAAAAGGAATCCTTTGGTGAATTAATTAATGTCTGTGAAAATGTTTACTTCAAAATAAGACGAATGTTATTGGGTAAGAAGAAAATGAAGTCGGAAAGTGAGTAAATCTATGATATGAAGACTGATTTCAAACTATCATCATTCAAAGTCTTCAATATTTAGTTCAAAGGCACTAGTCAAAGAAAATTAAGTATGTTTAGAAAAATTAATTAGAAAAAAGTACTTATGCCTACTATCTATCTAATCAATCGATATTATTTAATTTCAACATTAAGTAGTAATGAGTATTCAAATAGACTATAATAACCTTGTCCCATTTAGTATCTGAATAATTGACAACTATAAACTAACAAATAAATGTTTCTGACATTTTCAACTTCAAAATGTCTAATTTACAATGAATAGTTATTACTATCATTTTTCTCTGACTTTTATTAATAATAGAACTTCATCGATCAAATTGCGGTGCGATAAACATTAGTTTAAATGATTGAAAATTGTGTGAAATGTTGTTTTGTAATCTAGTATTTGGAATCAGTTGAAATGAACTTCTATTTGACCTAAGTTTCGAGTTTGTTAACATTTATCAACAATGTATATTAATAGACATAAGGAAACTACTACTCCCTATTGAATTTGAACTTATAACATCCATTTGTGTAATCTAAAAATTACTTTGCTTATTGGAAAAAATGTTATCATAAAAAGAATATCATCAATTGGGTTCTGAATGGCGGTCTAACATTGATCACTTCATGATCTTAATTAAAAACTCAACAATATCCATAATTCTATACTGATATTTATCTATGAACATAGATAAGCAGTTACAAACTACTCAATATGTCATCAGTAATATCGATTGGCGTAGGTCAGCTATGGATATCAACGCTGGAGTTATGACTCAAGAAAAAGTTAAAACTGTTAGGGAATTTTTAGATTCTGAATATTCAGGTCAGTTTGTGATCAGCCGATATGTTGATTTAGATTCAATTTACCAACCCCTAAGAATTAGGTCAATCAGTCATGTGGTAAGAAGTTATTAAGGAAAAACAGTTAATGAAGATGAAAATAATAAACCGTTTGAGGATGATTAGTCGATCACCAAAATCATTGGAACAAAATGAAAACTAGTGCTTGTGGGGTGATTTTCAAATTTTCACGCTGAGACTCGAACCTAGTACTTTCCAACTCAGTCTCTAACCCGATATCTATCGGGCTATTGAATCCAGATAAACACTTACTTGCTCAACGTATAGGATATTTATTTTACTATCAGAAAGGGTTTGAGTCATTTCATTGTTGATATTCAGAGCTGGGTTTTGATCGATTTGAAGAGAAAGTTACTTGGTACGAGTCAAAATGTAGACATAAGCATCGGGATACACTTACATCCAGATGACGAGTCCCAACTAGGAATAAATATACATTTAAAATCATACTATTGATTATAATGTTTTTATTCTATGAATCTTACAGTAAATCAACACGTTGAGTTCAACGGTAGATATACTTCCTTTTTTCAAATAGATATTAAAGAGGAATACGTATCTATTTTCAGGTACCAATGAATCTATAAATAAAACACTGCAATAATCTATTGATCAATCAAGTCAATCATTCAACCAGCATTTAAAATTTGTTTTTCATATGAAAATTAAATTGAATAATAGTCAAAAATACATTTTAACCTTTTAGAAACTGAAACTAACTATAATAAATGGAATAAAGTCTGTAATATACCATACCCAATAATTCAACACAAATTATATTTTACAATATAAAGAATAATAGTTGGAAAGTTAAAAACTATTTTTGCTCTCTAATGAGAAAAAACCGAGCATTAATAAACCCTTATATGCATATATATATATATATATATATATATATATATATATATATATATATATATATATATATATATATATATATATATATATATACAAAACACCATAATATTGGACATAGTGTTTACGTCAATACTAGTCTTTCTTTCGCTCTCTCATTCTCTATAAGCACAATATTTTTCGTGCAAGGTAGTTCTTGTCTCCTTCTTCGTCATCCTCTTGTTCCTTATTTTCTCTTCATTCAATTTTTTTCCTCATTGTTATTCTTCTCTTTTATCAATTTATCTAATTTCAAGAGAAACTTTAAATTTGATTGGTTACAAATGAAATAGTAATTTATTTTCATTTAACCAATCAGAATCTTAATGATCAACTTTAAATTGTTGTTTAACTCTGACATTTCTGTTACTGCACTATTTTAGTATAAAATAATTTTACAAACTCTATTACACTTTAATTCATTTTTGTATTGTTTGTTTATACACATGTTTGTTAGTGTGCGTTTATTTTTCCTATCTAAGTGACTGTTGTCAATTGTACATACATATCTTCTAATTATCAACCAATATGTAGTCCAAAATCTCAAATGTATATATTTAGGTATATATATATACGCACAGTAATCGGTAGGAAAAGTAGTTTCAACTTGTAAACTGATCTATTAGACACTTGGTATATTTCTCTGTTTATATCTCGTGTCCGTTTTAATCTGATTTACTTTTTCCCAAACGTACTTAATATCTGTTAATTAATTCTGGAAATAATATCAACAAATTGATTATACATAATATAACCATCTTTGAGGAGATAGAGTGAGACATAGAAAGAGAGAGAGACAACAAGCGATAGAGAAGTTGAGATTTTTTTAAATAATGCGGATTAAAATATTATGCAATTTATCAAACTATACATCTTATCATAATCTCATATATCTTCTGATATTACTTATATGCATACTATCCTGTACAGTCAATTTAGTCTCAAGTAAGTTTTGTGTATTCTATCTATGTCATTTTATATATATATATATATATATATATATATATATATATATATATATATATATATATATATATATTGTTGATCTATGCTCGCCTTTAATTATTGGTTACTGAAGTAACTAGAGCAAATAAATGCAAACATTAAAAATGGTATCCATTTAAGTTTAATAAATTTTAAACATTGTTTAATGAATACCGAACTGGTTTCGTTGGTGATTTTATGAGTTAGTTGATGCATATATCATAGATCAGTAGAAACTCAGAAAAGACTGATATCTAATATTAAATTATTGATGAGAAACTTATTCAAAATAACGCTATTATTTTCTCTAAGATGGATTCATACATGTTTTTTTTTAGAAAGAACATGTTCCTGACTAAAAACATTTTGCCAATCGATCCATGTAGACTTAATAGTTTTGTTATAAACCGATTTGTTCTGTAATTGTTAATTATTTGTTTAGTAATTGTTGAAGTAAACTATCTTCTAATTAAAAATGTACAATCTATACATTAGAAAACGATTAAAAGAACTACTATGTACCATTATGACTACTAAATTCAACAAGAATCACCTACATTCAGGGCTTAAGATGACAATCTAGGTGATTTACAGACTCCTAGTCTTCTCAACGTCTTAACTCCTAGTGAAGTCGAAAGGCAGAGAATCACCTATATTCATGACTTAAAATGACAATCAATTAAATATGAGTCGATTTCGCATCATAACTATGTTGAAATAACAGTTTATTTAGTAAATATTAATAAAATAATTTACATCCGAAGTACTTAATGTAATAATGAAATAGAAATTTATCATACATTTTGTTGATAATTACCTTTTTTAAATTCATTTAATACCATCTAAGCTATATATTATTATTATTATTATTATTATTATTATTATTATTATTGTTATTATTACTATTCAATTACTGATAAAATGAAGACATTTCATTGTCCAATGTGTTTTGTTAAAATACACTACCATGTTATTGACGGAATTCCACTATTATTTCTTATATCTGTTTAACACATACCTGATTATTGTATTTTTTTAAAAGATAAAAGCATCAATATAGAATTGATTGAGTTAATTGTATGCTCATTGCTGAAGAGTCTCATATTAAGACGAAAAGATCGTTCAGTACTTTCAGATTTTCAATAATGGTCTAGCTTAGATCGACTCATGGATTATTTACAAAATAAAAATATTGATTTAGGCTTTTAGAGTTTATATAGTTGTTTATTAACAAAAACGTAACACATGGAAACACTTGTCTACTTTATTTTGAGTAAAATCTGTCTTGTTTTTTTACTTTGTATTTAGACTAGTAAATATTAAACAAGAAAAAAACACATTTCAAAAAAATTTTTTTTGTTATTGTTGACCTATTTAGTTTTTGTAAGTTACCATGTTAAAATAAATAATATTTCTGATGATTGTTTTATTCGACTATAGATTGATTTAAGCCAAGTAGAACTGAGTCAGTCAGTCTGTAACAACATAGAACTTCGTAAGTACGTACATCAATCAGTTCGAGTTGCCATACCACATTAACACAGAGATGCAGTTATCGATTCAAGAGTATAAGTAGTAATCGGAAAGATTAGGGTTTGAAGATGTTATTTAAAGAGTATAATCCAGTGAAATAAATTTGTGAAGAGAAAAAAGGTAGGACTGAACAGATTTTTAGTTTCATGTTAGTACTCTTGAACTATCTTCATGAACAGATAAAAATTTGAAAATTTCGGGGTTTAGTTACACACATAATATATCTGTTAATATAAATTGAACTAGGTGAATTGATGTCTTCATGAAACGATGACATTAAAGGTCGATTATTTGTCAATATTATACTATTGAAATAATTGATAATTATTATGATTTAACAGCTTATGCGGATAGTGAGATAGATACTGAGTTCAAATCGCATCATGAAAACGTTGACATTGAGATTCAGTTACATTTTTGTTGATAAGCACCGAATAGAATGAAACACATATGCTGAATTTCATTGTTGATAGTCACTCATTTAAAATACAATGCATTATTAGACAATGTGATTGATTTTAAAATAAAAACTATACGCATAACATGACTATGGATTTTAGTTATTTTAATACATACTTATTGCGATCAGAATAACAAATGAATAAATAGTATCACGAAACAAAATGATTAATGAAAAATATCCCAATCGTTACATATTCATTCTGTATATTTTGAAAAAGGTATCGGATTTCGGTTAATAAAGGTTACCATTGATGGTTATAAATGCACTGGTAGATTGGAATATGAATATCCTGATAAAAATGTTTTGGATGAAGGTGTTATTCCCATCTATTTTTCCATAATATTAATGACGCATTAGACATCTACCACAGTAGCAGCATCCACCTATTAATAACCATCCCATTATGTAGGATAAAACAGATATTTATATAGTATTTAATCCCATGTGATTAGGCCGTAATAATAGGAAAGAAGTTATATAACCTCCCTCTCTCCCTATTCCAATTATCAACTAGTTCATCTATATTCATAGTAGAACTGGTAACCTATTTATCAGTTGACACACCAAGCTAAACAAAACAATCAAGACCGTAACGCCTGTTGGTCGTCAAACTCCTTTGAACCCAGTGTTAAATTAGACGGTAAAGACCGAAAGTGGATCAGTTCTCTAGTGCATTCAGTTCAAACATGGCTCAAAACTCAGACAATAAGGAGCCTGATGTCTGTGACCTCGCAGATAAACATTGAGATAAATTACAATATGTACGTAACCTAGTCATTAGTGATACAAAACCAGAGGTAATAGGAGAATAATCGATTAGCGATAGATCTGAAACAATAAGACATATGACAACAATATGTGGATCAAACAAAAGTTTAGAAATAAGAGAATGTTAAAATACAACAATCTAAACGTCTGTTAATTATACAATCAAATTATAAATAATAAGCTTTCGTGTGATAGTCCCACCAGATATACTTCTGTACTGTTCGCCTCATTATATCATATGCAAAAATACTTTTTATTTAAAGTTATATAAATTGATTGTATCACTAATCATCCACATCACCTTAAGTGCTGTGTTTACATGAAACGAAATGTTTTGCTTAACTAAATATCTCATGAATTAGACAACAAGCCATAGTCATCATGACTATATTAATTATGTCGTAGGGTTAACTGATTGATGACAATTATCAAGAAGCATTAGATCTCGATTCCATAGAGGCGATTGGCACTTGATAACAATGTGAATCTACAAGGATGAAGAAATCGAGTCAGCTGATATTACAGTTAGAAACGTTACTAATCAGCCATAAAGATCCAGACTGACCCCTAGAAGAAATAAGATATCAACTAGTCATTTAATCACATTCAACGCAGAACTCGGGACATATATGAATCGGCTCAAGCTGCCATACAATATCAATAAAGCAAAATGAAATTAATAGAACAAACGACAAAGTAGAGAAAATAGTAACATAATCTATCATAAAAGAAGAGATTAGACATGGACCATACTATACTAGAAGGAAGTTTTCATGTGATAAAAAGTATAAAATAATTTGAAAATCAGCATATTTATACTAATCTGTTACTTGATGGTACGCACTATCATAGGACTAATAGAATTCTGTTGATTAAAATGTAATGTGGCTATTAGTTTCAATAACTTAAAATCGTAGTGTAATATGATTGATACAAGACATATAATTGATTGGTAAAATTTATTTACTTGTAATGCATATTAGTTGGCATTTGTAAATAAGATGTATCTTTAAGCGTGAATGAATTGATGTTCTATCCAGCCATCTCACACAATGTGAAAATAAACTTGAAGTAAGACTGAAATTTATAGTGAACTGACGAAATGTAAATACTGAAAACAATGTGATAAATTTGAACACTTCACTTCTATATGAAGTTTGTGCTGATGATGTCGTTCAGAAGAATAATGAAAACTTCACGACCAAATCATCTAACTCAGATTACAAAACCCCATCAAAATCATCCACCTGAGCTACAATCTCTACCACCAACTCAAGACACTTTCTTCATAACTATTATTATTCGCTTTATTTACCAATTAATGTTATCACAACACCAAAAAGCATAAACTGATATACGATTTTATGCAATAATGAATTATTTCAAACAAATATTAATGATTATTTTGCTAAAAATTATTTATCGGAATCTAACTCTGACTCGACCACTTCTATTATAGAATGTACACATTATTTACACATGTAAAATGTAACCTTACATATTCAATTTTTAGAATGGAGGTTTGTAGAGATTGTAGTAAATTTTTTAATAGTTGAATTTATGAGTCGAACTAAGCTAAACCACCATTGAGGACCTAAAAGCACTGGACGATCGTTTCGTTCTAGTATGAGACTCATCAGTAGTTGGATGTCAGCTCAGTAGTTCAAAGATTGAACGTTCGCGTGCGAGATCAAAAGTTCTAGGTTTGGGTCCCTCAGGAAGGATTGTGGATGAGCGCTGTTGAAGTGTCCTATACTAGAACGAAATGGTCGTCCAATACTTCCAGGTTTTCAATGGTGGTCTAGCTTACATCGACTCATGGATTCAACAATTAAAAATGATCTAATTTTGTAAAGACAGAAATCCAAATAGATATTTATTTTTGGCGCTTCAGAACTTGTCATTTGATGGTAGTTACATCACTTTTTAATACTGCTTTGAAATATTATGATTATTAACATCATTATTATTATTACTATTACCATCAGTAGTACTATTACTATTTTTACGATTGTTACAGTTACTTTATTATTATATAGGTAAAGAAATTTTTGAAGACCGATTGATTTTTGATGTTGGTTTTGTCATGGATTAATATCATTTTGAGGTAGAGAGAGGTGTCATTTAAATTATGTACTCATTACTATCTATAGTTTTGATGAAAAGTCATGATTAGTTGACTTCAGCTGTGTCAGTTGTTATGTAGTTATCCACCCATTGAGAATCAAATGAGTTTTAATACACGGATTCAAATAGTATCGAACTTTCAGTAAGTACTGAGGATTTCGAGTTTTGTTGTATGTTAATTGATAGGAAATCTTCTCCTAACTACGTTTCATGTTAATTAACATTATTCAGTAGTAAAAATAAATCAATGAAATATTCTGACTTCAATAATTTAAGTATATAACTAATCGAATTGACTACTGAAGTTCAATCAACGTGTTATATCCAGCCTTTTCAGTAAAATTTTGGTTCACTTAGTGGGTGAACATAATTTCCAATAAAGATTTCATGGTTATGACGATCTATCTTAATGATCTAGAGGTTTACGGTAGCCTTCTGTTACCAGCCATTCAACCTTTGATTGATGTTACCTACTACTTATACCGACGGACATAAGTAGTATGCGCCACAGAAGTACCTCGGAATAATTTGGAAAGCGTAAATGTTAATTTATGAATGAATATAAGAATTATTATTCAGTTATGGTAAAGCTAATCTTGAACATTATTATTATTATTAAATGTTTTAGGTATTTTTTAAAGCATAGATCTCTTTAATAGCTTTCACAAACGAACAATAATAACTGACATTCAGTAAAGTTTAGGGCTAGTCACTCAATGACATACTTTTTTTAAAGTGATATATAAGAAAATACAAGTGACAAATTAGCAATTATTGTCGAGTCAGTAAATAATCTCGTCGGTGTAATTTCATTAACTTTGAGGTATGTCCCAGTGGTCGTAGAACACTCGATTTACAATCATTATTTTCAGAAGGCGTTTGTGGAGATTTTAGAAATTTCACAGATAGAAATCATGAGTCAGTTGAAGCTAGACCACCATGGAAAACCTGGAAGCACTGCCATTGAGCCGGCATCCGACGGTGTTAATGTCTAACTTCAACTAATCCACGAAGTGGCAGTGCTTCCAGGTTTTCCATGGTGGTCTAGCTTCAACTGACTCATGATTTCTATCTGTAAAATCATTATTTTACCTAGAATAGTTTAATTAATTAAACAGTATTAAAATTTTGTAAATATATTTATAATCAAGTTTAATTTAGCGCTTTCAACTGATAACCTGTTCAAATATCTGGGTAATTTATTTTTCAATTATATAAATATCATAATAAAACTCCCTGTTTTACATCAATTTGAACTGATTGATTATGAATGGTAATTGGATGCGTATATATGTGATTGTAGAAGGGTTACAATTAATTGCAATGTTAAATACCAGAAAATTCAAATGGAAACATTACAGTTATTGGTATATTTTCCCCCTTTGAAAAGCTGTAGATCATTGCATCGGCATTCATTTATTCAACATCTTATGAATGAAAATAAAAGGGGGTTGTATCACTTCAACTGACAGTCAACTTCACTAAAGATGGGTGGATGAGACCGATTTTTAAAAAAGTATTTAAAAAATGTAATTGTTGAATAACTATAATTTAAATGTGTGTTTGAGAGAAATTTCTTGCAATATTGCATAACTCGTGTTGAAAACTAGTTACTCGGATAAAATGTTTGTAGTAGTGTGTGCTGCTGATATCGACAGATATAAGTAGTATGTATCACCAGTCGAAACTGGAATACCTGGAGGCAGAAGATTGAGGAGAAGTGAATGAGAACAGAGAGTGATCGACATGGAAATAAAGGAATAGTGAAGTTTGAGACAATCGATAGACATTTTACAAATGAAGTATTTACAGTATTGTTCTCAGATTTTACTAAGAGATTCTGTAATTTTGTGCTCAAATATATTTAGTTGTCCCCACTTGCATTCTCTTTCACTACACCATTACTACTATTATATAGTTTTCTCATGGTTTGAGTCCAGCTGAAAAAAAATGACAGAACTAGAGACCACTAAGATAGGTAAATCTTCTGTCCTAATAGTATGAACTTCATAAAATTCACATATGGTCTAACTCAGAATTATGAATATAATGTTATATGAATAGCGATTTAAAATTCAATAAACCATGTGTCGTCAATCGGACTTCACTCAAATTTACATTAAAACATAATCATACTATTATTCAATATCAACCAGTCGGTAAATATTCCATGTTAGATATGCTTGAGAAAAAGTTCATTTATTTACTCAATTGTTAAATATGATATTTTATTTGACTTTTGTGTATTTATTTTTCTCTTATTTGTATAGGTGAACGAGTTGTACGTATTCGAAGACAAGATGATGGTGTATTAGATGAAGATATATCAGCGAGTGGTGGAGACGATGATATACCAGAAACTACTCCAATACCATCGGTATGTAAATAAAATTGTTTCATTTTTTTAAAAGATGTTAATCATTCTAATAATGGATAAACGTTTTTCTTTCTAAACTATACAAACCCTTAAAAAAAATAATTTAATGTTAGTCTACTTAAAGTCAGTTAATGATGTAAACTACAAAATTCAACAATCTTCAAAATTTCCCTTACCGAAAAAAATAAGGAAAGATAAACCTATCAGTTTATATCGGGATAGTCGCTGCTGTCGTATTAAATAGATGGGGGGTGTATGTATATATGCATTTAGTTTACTAGATAAAACTTCATTGAATGCTCTAGTTAACTTTTATGAATAAATTTAAAATTCCTATAACTGTCTCTTTAGAGTAGAATTAATATCCATGAATTTATAAGGTATCTATTTCTCAATGTTTAATACATGTGAAATATCTGCCACTTTTCCATTCATTTGGGTCAGTACTGACATGTGAGAGCATAATTTTCACTGAAGATCTCATTGCCAACACTAACTTTCTTTTTTTATTTGTTTTTTTCATATCTGGCAATTCGGGATCCCCTACGGTGTCTCATTTTCATGGAAAACATACATTGATACAGGATTAAAATGAAGTTTTCAATGAAAATTACACTGTTATATCGAACACTGACATATAAAATAAAAGGGAAAATACACAATAATGCTAGATATTACACTTTTATTGAACATTGAGAAAGGATGGTTATCCTTACACAGTTTTACTAAATCTTAGAGCAAACTGATCGTTTATGTGATGACTGAATGTAAACAATTCTAGCATTAACTATACTATTGAAATCTAATTGTATACATATAACATTCTAATTTATCTAGAAGACAATAGTGTACAGTGCCGCAATTTCGTGGATTGGTTGAAGTTAGACAGTTAAGACGTTAAGAGTGATTATCTGTTTAACATAAGCTATCTCATAATGAAACGTTCTTTATAATGACCAAATCCTTTATCTATCACATAAGCAAAACATATTCATTTCAATATTTATCGCATATCCTTACGAATTATTGAAAAGTATGTATATATTCATGCATGAAATATTGAACCCTATTTTGGTTATTCATTTATATCGTTTTCTTTTGCTTGACTTTTTTCAGAGTGTTAAAGGTCCCGGACCATTTTTGCAGCCAAATATAGTAACAGGTCCTCGAGGGGCTCCGGGTGAACCTGGTCCACCTGGACCATCAGGACCTATTGGACCACCAGGAAAAATCGGTGAACCCGGGCCACCGGGGCCAGCTGGAGAAGATGGTGCACGTGGACCACCAGGTCCATCTGGTGATCCAGGAATCGATGGTAAACCAGGTATAGATGGTGAACCTGGTCTACGTGGAACTCCAGGTCCACCAGGACCAGTTGGTCCAATGGGTTTAATTGGATCTACAGGTCCACCAGGCCCAATGGGTATACCTGGTCTTAAAGGTATAAAAGGTTCCCCAGGTATTGATGGACCAATGGTAAGTCAAATTTGTTACCAACAGTAACATATATTAGGAGTAGACGTTTCATGTCATTAAGGATTTCACTATGTTGTTAGTATGTCACGTTATAAAAACAAACAAACAAACTATATATTATGGTTTCTAATACTGGAAGATTTAGTGACCCATGGATCTGACTCCAATTAGATCGTACGAATGATTGTTATCGCCTTTTCTCGTATATCATCGTCGACTTAAATCACGTTAGTCAATAACGGAATTTAGATAAGTCAACTAACAAGAATGGCCTTTGAATACATATATTTCGTATGTAAAGTGAATGTGATAGAACAGAGCAAAATGACACGCAGGGAAAACGGCTGAGAATCCAACTCCATTTTAGACATGCGTTACTCAATTTTTATAGTCAGACAAAATAAAGCACAGACATGTGATTAATGGGATAAGAAGGGCACACACATATATACGCTCATATAAAAACAGTCTAGATTGATAAGCGAATAAATAACAAGGTCAGAGTATGGCTCAATTAGAATGAATAAAATGGGATGTCCGAAAGTTAGAATAAGGTATATGGGCTTGCCGTAATAACTGACACTACAAAGATATACAATTAAAAAACTGTAATTTGATTTTAAACATATCTTAAATAAAGAAAAAAACTAGAAAAGCTCTGTGTATATTTTTAGTTGTTAAGTATGTTTTGTCATTAAAAACTGTTTGATGTCATTTTGATACCGCGCTAATCTATAATTTCTTTGAACAAAAAACCCACAAGTCTAAAAATGGTAGACTCAATATGTGTTAAGCTACTTTATGACTTCAATTTAGTTTTAAATGAAAATTACGAAGTATGATATTTGAGTCTTTTAGCATAGATTTTAATTTGGTGATATCATTTTCTAATGAATACAAGTTTTAAATTCTTACAATATCGTTTTATTATCTTTGTATGTTTGATGCAGTCATCTTCTCGTTCTTTAATTATCTTCAAGCATTGACAATGCATATCAAACAAGGGGAACAATTATTCAAAGATTTAAAACAGAGTTTTACTGATGTTATCAAAACACGAGTTTCATGGGTTTTTTTTTTAAAAATTAATGTAGTGTTCATGTTCCATGCTACAAAGTTTTTGTAGAAGTATTTTAACTTTTATAGTTATCAAGTTTGTAAACGTGGACGTGTAACAAGTTTTTATACTATTTTGGATAATAAATAAAATGTATCACAGGCCAGAAAAGTAAAATGAAAATCATGATTGAAACTAATAACTTAATCTGCTGTCTTACTAATAGATCATTCAATGTTGGAGTTTCATGAGAATAGCACGTTCTTTATGTAGGAATTCCCATGAGTCTCTGTAAATAACTTATTTTAATGCTTCATGAAGGCTTATATTTTCATCTCGTAGCCAGTTGTTGTTTACGTGATATATTTTTAAACTTGAGTAAATATGTATATTTATATTTTAGGGTGAAAGAGGTGAAGTTGGTCTTCCAGGTCCATTTGGTCCACCTGGACCTAAAGGACCACTTGGATTACCTGGTGCTCAAGGCCCAGTTGGTCAAATGGGTACACAAGGACCAGATGGATTTCCCGGGCTTATAGGTTCTATGGGTCCTCAAGGACCTCCAGGACCCTCTGGAATGATTGGACCAGTTGGTTTAAAAGGTGATGAAGGACTTCAAGGTGCACCAGGTTCTCTGGGTGATCCTGGTGATCCAGGTTTAGATGGAAGTCCAGGAGCTGATGGTGAACCTGGACCGATGGTAACTTGTCTTTTGTTTTGTGAATTACCAGTCTACCTCATTCTTAAACTTATAATATCCTTAACATATTTCTGTGAATTTTTCAATATTTTATTCAGTTAACCCATTTAATGTAGCGTAGTTTCAGTACTGACCCACTCTCATCATCATCTATTCCTAAATTTGTTCTAGATTAGTTAACCTAAATCACCTATACTGAAAACAAAACACCTAATTTCCTGTTTTAGTTAGTGATCCACTCTGTACTAACCGATGAGTATGAGACAACTGTAGATTACGGGCATGATGGTTAAAGATGTCTTAATAGATTACATGTGGTATTACAATTGAGTAACTGACATCGAGATTAAATGAAAAGTCTTTGAAAAAACTGGATTGAGAAGCTGTAATAAATGAAGTGATTTGGTTATATCTTGTACATGCTAGTTCATTATCTATATCAAAGTACAATAAGGCTCAAACTAGGGGCAATTTTGCAGGAAAGTTGTTCGTCTGAGTTATACAAAAAGACGTCGACTTCCTGACTGAGATTTTGGCCACGAAAGAACTATGGTTACGAATCAAAGACAACACCTTCTGAGGTTTTACAATGTATTAGATATGTTAACTCACTACTTTCTGAAATCTTGAACATGTTACTATTCATGCATCTTTTGTTTGTCTGTTTTAAAGTTTTTCCATCTATGGCGATTTTCTGTTATTCATGTACTGTTGCAATCTCGGCTATTCTAAACAGATATAAATTGATGTAAGCATTACTATATTAGAGGACATATCTGTCTATTTATCAATGTGTCGAATCATGTTTCACTTCATTGGTATATTTTGCCTTATAGTAAACAATACTTGTAAAACAATTTGATCAATATGAGATCGAGCCACTAATTGTTAGTTGTTATCGAGGCCTAAATCATTATGAAATACTAACTATTGAGTTGCTTTAAAGATTAAAATGGGAACTTTTCAGTGCTTCTTAGTACTCAGCGGTTGCTAATTTAGTGTTGGCTACCGGAAAAACATATTATGATAAACTGTCCTAGATTTTTAACGGTTGATTATAAAACTGAAATTATTGATTATGAAGAAATAACTATGTTCAATGCAACAATATAACATCCGATAAGTTCAGCCATAAGCTTTATTCCATTTTATCTGATCCACTTTAATAGTTTTTCCAACCATTTCTTGTTGACATTTAGGGTCCTACTGGTAAGGATGGATCGCCAGGATTGAAAGGTGAAAGAGGAATTCCAGGCCCTATGGGACCTCAAGGAACTCCCGGCCCAAGAGGATTGTCTGGAGGACCAGGTTCACAGGGGACACCCGGAGAGAAAGGGGCTGAAGGAGCTCCAGGACCACAAGGACCTACAGGTCCAGCTGGACCAATGGGACCACCTGGAGAGCCTGGTGATAGAGGGCTATATGGTCCAATGGGAGATATAGGAAAGCCTGGTCCACGAGGTCCACCAGGTGAAACTGGACCAAAAGGAGACACAGGGGTGATTGGTGCTCAAGGGATGCCTGGAAATCCTGGATTAGATGGGCTACCTGGAATACCTGGAGAAGCGGGTAGTGATGGAGAAATGGGAAGACAAGGTATGCCCGGTCCACCGGGATTACCTGGGCCATCCGGACGAGACGGTGAACCTGGTCCGAGGGGTTTTCCAGGTTCAAAGGGTCAAGACGGCTCTCAAGGTGTACGTGGGGTGATAGGACCAAGAGGCCCTTCAGGAAAGGATGGGGATGATGGTGAAATGGGTCCAGCAGGACCACCAGGACCTGCAGGACCACCTGGCCCATCTGGACCACCGGTAAGAAATACTTTTCAAACATTACATCATAGAATATAACTCACTTTGATGTATGCTCACTCTATCATTGATAGACTTGTATGACAGGGCCTAGCAACTTAGAACCCAACAGTTAAAATACAGTACGATAGAGAGTTTGATTCAACTTTCGAAATGTCGTTCATACGTTTACATTCCTTGAAGTTAATTAACAATGCAGTTACCTGATGTAATATTAAGACATCATGTAGAGGAGGCATTTCTGAAACGTTTTACAAAATTAGATAAATGAAAATAATGAGCAACATTTACATCTGAACTCACTACTGATTATTTCATTAATTTGACTCGCAAAAGTTTGAAAAGTTCTATTATCTGATTTTAACTAATCAATATGAAATACTTCATGGTTTCATAACTAGTTATGATTCATAAAGTTTGACAGATGATATTAACTACTGAAAAAAATCTATCGGTATGTGCAAAATTTACGATCCAGTATCGAAAATGTCATATATTTTTATGCTGCCATAAAACAGAATGACGACATACAATCACTTCGATGTTAGATGGTTGAGCGATGTAGTCTAGAAACCTTATTCTATCTGCTTTTTATGTTAAATGGTTCCTGTCAGTAAAGACTACCTTCAATCTTGTGAGAGCTGATGGTCCCTGTAACGTTTGAACCCTCGTTACTCAATTTCATAGTCTGAGGTTTTACTAATGAGCTGCTGGAGTGTGGATGACCTCCTGTATAACTTAAATATCTGCATCGATTGGTCACTAGATTATCCAGTGTGAATCACTATTATATTCATCAAAGCGGCTCTATCAAGATGCTATAAATGATTTATAGATTAATTTCCTTTTATCATACAATGATGTGAATAAGAGAGCTGTTTGTAATTAAAAAGTATAAGACGATTGATTCTCACTAGTTTGAAACCATACATCACATCCCACCTGTACAAGAGGTTCTCCATCAAGTGTGATTTGGTTGGTGCTCTCTGTGTTGTATTTTTTCCTAGTGAACGTTGAGGCCTACTGCTTCAGAGGTTGCTGTTACACTAGCTGTATTATTTGCATTTGTTGGTGTGTATGGGATAGAAGAACCATGTTCTCTGTAAAATCCGAATAGTATGGTTGCATTGAATCTGTTCACTATATTCTTTGCACCCTTGAGATGTGGTCTTCGTAATACAGTCAAAAACTAGAAAAAAGATTAAAGACAAGAGTAAGCAATTTTATCTGACACCGGTCTTCACTTGGAATGCATCTTTAAGCTGCCCTCTCTGTTTCCTTACCTTCATACAGTATCATAAAAACATTATTATTCGACAGAGTTTGAGCTATCTGATTGTCAATATACAGAACTGAACTTTGAACAGTCTCATTTAGTAAAACTTCGGTCATTAGCATCAATAAGAGGACAGTTAATACCCTTTCTAATAATTACTAATAATAATAATAACAATAATATGTACACCATACTGGTTTAGCAAATTAGTGTCTATCTGGGTTCGGTAGCTAAGGAAATAACGCATTAGCGTTTGAGATGCAAGTTAGTAAGTCCAAGTTTTAGTGTGAACGGTAACATTGGGGCTCAGATACATCTGGCTGATGATTTTTAGATAAGGGGAAACGTGTGTTCTGAATTCCCCTGCTAGTCAAAATCCACACTGTTTATAAGAGGGATTATTAAGTTTTATATTATGCATTGAAACACTTAACTGTTGAGTTGATATTCAACAGAATACATTCTTTTCTAAATTAGTTAATTCTTAGTGATAAATAATAATGACGATGGTTGATTTGGATGAACACGAGTAAGTTTTTAATCAAATAAATCGAATCGTAAAACACTGAACCAGAGTCAAGGAAGAAAAACAGTTAGAAAAATGAGAAAGAACATTTCGTCTGTACTGTATATTTTGTAAGTTTTCGTGTAAAGGCATGGCCTATTGAGAGAGAAATAATCTGGTTGTACTTATTAGTTATTTCGATCCTAAAATCATTTAATATGTCCTATTTTCCCTTTTTAAAAAGGGTGTACGTGGTGGTCGAGGCTCATCTGGTGAGCCAGGTGATCCAGGTCCTTCAGGTCCACAAGGTAGTCGTGGTGCAACTGGTGCTCGTGGCCGTCGTGGGAAAGTTGGAGTTGCTGGTAGTCCTGGAAGTATTGGCGGTATTGGAGATAGAGGTCCACCTGGTCCAATTGGACCATCAGGTCAACCTGGTCCTATTGGACAACCAGGCCAACCAGGTGGTAAAGGTCCAACTGGAAGAGATGGAAAACAAGGTACAGATGGAAAGCCAGGAACTCAAGGGCAAGTTGGTTTACCAGGCCCAATTGGTGAACGTGGTGCTGCTGGTGAAGATGGTGAACAAGGTTATCCCGGTGTACAAGGTCCCAAAGGTGAAGTTGGTTCACAAGGCATACCTGGACGTACTGGACCAGCTGTAAGTCATTAAATGTCGTAACATGAATTATTGGTTGATTAGCAGTTTAGTACATAAAATGTGTGTAGTGACAAATAATTTTCCAAAATGAATAACTTTGTAGTTATTTCACAATAATAATAATATTGGAAGACACTACTAACCAAAGTTTCTCTGTTGAACATTCAAGCCATTTCACGTCATAGCCCATATAAGATATCTCTCTTCATCTTCTAGGTAATTAGGTTTATGGTCTCATGTTCATTTATCTCGGCTCACTATTAAATACATTATTACTGCTGTCCATTATCGTTTTATTTGTTTGTTTTTTTCTAGGTAAAGTATCTGATAGAACGTGATATCAGATTGACTGAATTATATTATATTAAGATATTTTTATGAACTTTAAAGCTAGTCTCCATTAGTAATTAACATGAATTCTCAAAGTTCTTCTTATAACTTATGACCAATGAAGTCAAAATTAACCACCAATAAGAATGAAAATTGGCTGTACAATTTATTGCCAATTGGCTGAAAATGTGACATAATAGATCACGTCTAAACGTATCATGCTAGCTCTTGCGTTTCCTCCTTTGTGACCAGAATACAGTAATATCTACAAGTTAATCTTTCCTGCTCAGGTTGTGTCCAGTGAGATTCGATGCACCGTCAGGTTGTAACTCCTTATTTCCACTTTTTATTTAGATGGTCTTCCAGCTCTCCCACATTGTTTGGACATTCTGAGCACTTAAGTAAATGATTGCCTGATTTTTTAAGAAGGCCCATCAGCCTGATGGCTTCCGGAAAATCTCGACTATGGGGTTTCATAACCCTCCTCTCCTCACATATTTTGGTCTGGAAAACTGGGTAATATTAATGCATACACATTTGGAATGTGATTTTTAATCAGGCATGCGAATTTATACCTAGCAAACAAGTTTTAATAAAAGATATGAGCCTGACAATCATGATCCTACAAATAATATAACCTTGTTCATTTGGTTCCACTTGTGTTCAACAGGTATTGTTCTTGCTCACGATGATTAAATTACTACCTTCTTTCCAAAATAAACTATTTTGTATCGTTTACTACTTTACTTTAGTTTTGTGTTTTTGTTTCTGTCTGCTAAATCAGACCCCACCGCTAATATGGTAGCGAACAAGAACAACAGTAGGGATAACTGAACATCTTACAGGACGTGTGAATAAAATCCAACAATTATAAAGTGAATGTTTAATTTGCAAAATAACCATCTATTATCTCAAAATGACTCAGACTTCATTGTTTTCGCATTTTCATACAAATTTCACCCTGCTTCCATTCTTTACTGTTCGATCCTCTTGTCTCTCTGCTGCCAGACCTTCTGTCCACGACTAACATCATATACTACTTATATCAATATAAGTAGCACACACCACACTACTACTACTATTACTACTACACAGATACACAGTTCAACTTTCATTTTAGCCCTTAACCCAAAGTAATTTTCCCAATAATAGTTTGTTACTCCCTTTATATTTTGAATTATTACCTTAGTTGATTAGTCTTTGATTTATTCACTCAACTATCGGAACAAGATTTTCTTCTTTTTTCAATTTAGCTGAAGTTGTAAATCAGTATTCAAAAATTCGATAATAAGATCCATTGAATTGTTAGTTATACTGTCATTAATTTATTCTACAGTCTTATTTCTAACTAAATAAGATCCGTAAACAGATCGTTTTCAAAGGAATGTCTTGTTAAAACAGATTTTTTATCTCTTCAAAATCTTCCTTGTTTGTGACAATTTACTTGTTCTTTTTCCAATTACATTGTTTAAACCATTCTAAGAAGTTTTCAAAATTCCAGGCTCTTCGGCTGCTTTGCACTTCATAATAATTTGTCTTCACATATTCCCGGTAGATCATTTCACATTTTCGAGGCCGACATAAGCACTGTTATAGAAGAGAATCATAGAATGACCGATCAGAAACTCTTATTCAGTCACAGTCTTGATACATCATCCTAATGGTCTTCCCTGAAACGTTTCCTTGAATGAGTTGTCTCCATAGTCAGTCCTCAATATTTCATTAATTACCCTAGTATTTTCTCATGTTCCTGCAAAGATCTGAAAGTGATTAGTTATTCTTATGTTTATTGAACATATCGTGTATACTTACTCTTACTTTTCCATTTTCACCGTCTCTCACACACACATTCCTTCCTCACAAAATAGGGTCCACCAGGAGTTCGAGGTGGTTCGGGTCAAATGGGTTTAAGAGGAACAAAAGGTCCACGTGGTCCACCGGGAGAAGATGGACCACCTGGAAAAGACAGTGCACCTGGTGAACCAGGACCACCGGGTGAACCAGGTCCACGAGGACCAATTCAAGTTCAAGGTTATGATAATGGTAAAGTTGTCGGTCCACAAGGAGCGAAGGGTTTACCAGGATATCCTGGACCACGTGGAAGACCAGGAATACCAGGTAAAGATTAATAAAATTAATCGATAGCTACTTTTTTAATGTTAAAATATAAATCTAGGTGTTTTATTATAATTACAATAATAACAATCCTGACAATTATTATCATCATAGAACACTGAATTATTACTATTATTATTATTGGTTATTTGACATCGTCGGTTCCTTTTTAAATTCACCTCTTTGCAGTTATTCCTATCAGGTCAACTGTTTAGTCATTAACAAATTCGCTTAACTGATATATAAAACAGTTGTTTTAATTACTTGACGACAAAACGCATCAATGATAGTAATAAATGGAAAAATACATTGTTTCAAAGTTCCAAGAAGATCAATAACAAATCATCCGAACTCAGATGGTTATGAGTTTAAAGGGGAACTGACTAGACAATTAAAAGAGGTAAATCTTGTAATTCGAGTGACAGGCCGTGGCGAGTGAACTTCAACCACGTCTGGTATGAGGCGGTTAATCACTGATGGTACAAAGAAATGGTTGCACTACTTCGCAAATCAGTTGGAGTACAGAATGTCAACCGTTGGACGCCAACTCGATGGTTTAGAGATTAAGTACAAGACCTGAAAGTCTGGGATGTGTTTTTTGTGTGATCGGGAATAGGCAGCACTAAGGAGTCCCATACTAGGGTTAACAGCTATCAAATGCTTATCGATTTTAATGTTTATCTAATGAAGATCAATCTACTGTGTGAATTACAAAATTAGTAGTTGATTGCAAATTCATTTTAGACTGCTTTTGTATAGACTTTATATAACACCAAGATAAATCGTATATATAAATAACAGAAATATTAAAATCCAGAGAAAGCAGTCCATTAAGTGTTGGGTACCGAAGAGTAGGTTGAAAAAAGTGGAAAATTGACAGGTCGAGATACAGTATTTGTTCATAAAGTCACTAATTGATGATCTAAACTAGAGTGGTAGTTACGAACTTCTTTATTGGCATCTTCATAATATACCCATGATCAATCATTGAAAATGTTGGGTAATGTGGTGATAAATCGTTTGAAGTGTTACAGTTACATGTTGATTCTCAATCTTTTACTAAATATTAATTTAAGTGTGTATTCGGAGCTTTTTTCCACCAGCTAAATTAGTCATTAAAAACTAAGAAAAAACATATTTCAAACTTAGGACTCTATTAGAGTTAAGTTTTGCTTGAACATATACTGAATACTTTAAATTGACTGACTATTTCTTCTTGACACTTATCTACCATTTCAAATTTCCTTTACAAAATATCAGGAGCTCCTGGTGATCCAGGACCTATTGGAGAAGCAGGAGTACCAGGTGAAGACGGTCCACCCGGTCCTGACGGTCCACGTGGAAAAGATGGAATTGATGGAGCACCTGGTCGACCAGGAAAATCAGGTAAACCTGGTCAGTCTGGAGCTGTTGGAGCTCAAGGACCACCTGGAAAACCTGGAGAAGCTGGATATGCTGGTCCACCAGGACCATCGGGAATTCCTGGCCCTTCTGGTGAACCTGGTCTACCTGGAATAGATGGTATTAACGGAACTGCTGGTGCCCAAGGAGCTCCTGGCAACCCAGGTGCACAAGGAGCACGTGGTGCTGCTGGGCCTCCAGGAGTTGATGGTGCTAAAGGTCCACCTGGGGATGAAGGACCAACTGGTCCGAGAGGTCAAGCTGGTCCAAGAGGAACTCAAGGAAAAGACGGACTCCCTGGACTTCAGGTAATAATTCGTGTAAACTTTTTAATTTGTCTCTTTGGTTTATAACTTTGTTATGGTGAATTATGGTAAAAATATTGAAGAACACCATTCATCGGCAATTATGCAAATGCTTATTGATTATTCGTATAATAATGTAAATGATTTTACCGAACGGCAATATTATAAATTATCTTGATTAAGGAAATAAAATTGATAATCTAAGAAATAAGAGGCTTTTAGAAGTTTCATTTGTGTTCAACAGAATGATGACGTTATAGTGCCGTTTTTAATAAAAGACAGAAACTAATGTCACTTTTGTGTGACTACTCTCATAGTCGAATATCAATAACAAACAAGTGTTTTTTTTTCTTTCATCATAACGAAACTGACATTTAAGCGAACCATGACAATACTATTTCACTGGATTATAATCTAATACATCGGAGGACCTGTAATAGATTAAACTGAATTCATAGACTATTCATAAATATGATAATGTATCGTAGTCACTTCATGGGCCCGAATTTCTAAGTCATTACCAAACATCCTGAAAATGTGCCAGGGAAGAATAAAAGATTATATATCTATATAGGCTCTGGACGACTGAACCTATGGAAGGACTAGTTACATCTTTAAGTTATGTAAACTTTTGTATGAACCATTATGTCACATATACATTTTCAAATGAATATACACGCAAATAGCTCTGTTCCGATTGATCGTTTAAGGTCAAAACATTGCACAAGGGCAATGCAATTTTTGATAGTCCTGTCTAAAACACTAAGATTTGTTTTTATTTTAACATAATACAACAGATGAATAATTAAAACCTTGGAAATTAAACGTTCTCGAAACGTCTACATTACTTTTCTAACTAAAATCAGGAAACTTAGCAGAACACAAATAATAATTATCATTAGTATGTACAATTGAGTTTAATTAAAATGAGTTAGTCATATTCTTCATCTTTGGCTACTGTTCCTCCTTACCCTCTTTTAGGGGAAAATGGGTGCTCCTGGAAGACCAGGGGCAAGAGGATCAGCGGGAGTTATGGGAGTTCCAGGACCACAAGGGAAGATAGGACCTGCAGGAAAAGAGGGACCAGAAGGACCGTCTGGTCCTGTTGGACCACCTGGGCCACCAGGGACAGATGGAGAGGTAGGTGGTGTAGGGCCAGTGGGAGAAGCTGGGTCCCCAGGACAACAAGGTCTTCCTGGAGAACGCGGACTTCAAGGTCCACCAGGTCCCGGAGGAGAACCAGGCCCACCAGGGCCTAGTGGTCCTTTAGGAATACCAGGACCAGATGGACCAAGTGGACCTAGAGGTGAAGTAGGTGATCCTGGAGTAGATGGTGCGCCAGGGGGAAAAGGCGAAGATGGACAACCTGGACTTCCTGGACGACCTGGAAAAGATGGATCCCCAGGAAGACAAGGGAAGTCTGGACCACAGGGCCACAAAGGTTGGACAGGCCCTCCAGGTGACCCTGGTCTTCCTGGCATAGCCGGACAACCTGGTCAACCAGGACTTCGAGGATATCGTGGACTTTCCGGCTTACCGGGGGAAGTCGGACCTGTCGGTGCCCCAGGACCTCAAGGTGAGGCTGGATTCGTTGGCGAACCAGGTCCCCCTGGTGGACCTGGACCTATTGGAAGAGATGGACCACGAGGACCTCCTGGACATATGGGAAGCGAAGGACCTCCTGGACCTCCTGGGCCTCCAGCTATGAGTTATGGAAAGATGTATGGAGATCAAAAAGGCATCACTTTAGAAATGCCCAATGGTACACGCAGTTTTCCAGCAAGGTCATGTAATTATTTATCGCGTACACATCCAAGACTACCAGATGGTAAGCAAATTTTATTTATTAAATTATCTAACTTTAAAAACTGGTTCACCGATTGATCATGAAGAACAGATACTAGCTGCAGAGTTCGTTACTCAGTACTCTGCTATAATATCTAAATGATAGTTATCAGACTAGTGTTTTCCGGAACGGAAATAAACGCTTTGAAATTAAATTGTCAACACTCAGAGAATACAATGCCTTTAAATCAGAATAATGTATAATCCTTTGTATGTCATAGTTTCACTGAACAGGATGTGAGTGAAATGTTGATTCAAATTATATACTTTAATATATAACTGGTGTCCAAACTCCTTGTTATAACCTGTCTATAACTATTTAAATCTAAATATGAATACAATAGTAAATGTAAGAATTAACCCAATAAACGACCCCAATACAAATATGCTCAAACCACAATTTTAATATACCCTGAATGATACCTGAACCCGCTCCCAACTACTGCGAAGACGAAAGAAAGAAAATAGTTCATTGTTTACTCCAGTTGAAAATTACATGATGAAAAACCCTGAATATTTGTTGAATCTTTCAGTTTATCATTGAGAATCAGTTATTAAGGATGTCATACAGTAACTTTGTCAAGTTTTTAGAATAGATTGGTTATGGATGCGTTTTTATCCTATTTGAAACTCCTCAGGTGGATGTACGTTCATTCCAGTGTTGATGTTCACGCAGAGACTCAAACCTAGTGCTAATTACCTTCAATTCCGACGCACTATCCACTAACTTACTGAATTCACATTAAGTTATTCAATGGTTATGATATTTTTATCATTATTAGTAAAGGCTTGAGTTATCCTAGTCCTGAATATCGATAAGGGAATAGTTTAAAATTTCACCAAAAAGAGCACAAATAAAGTATTAAATGAATACAGGTGAAAAGTAAACAAAATATTCTCTGAATCCAATAACTTACTTTCCACTCTTCTCTCTCAGTGCAACTGTGGTGTATGCTACTTATTTCGAAAGATATAAGTAAAATCTAACAACAGCCAGAAGTGGAATGGCTGGTAGTAGAAGGTTGAGAAGATCAAATTTAAGAGAACAGGAATGCAAACAAAGATTAATTGTAATAACAACAGGAATAAAAGAACGATGACGTTTGTCAGAGACGACTGATGGAATTAAAGTACTTAATGTATTGTTTTCATATTTTACGAAAACATTCTGTAATTTTGTACTAAAACATAAACTGGTTGTCTCCACCTTAGAGGTCGTCCACAGCATAGCAACCAAAGTCTGTTGAGGTTTCTCTACGCCAAATATTCTCTTCGCCCACTTTGCATTGTTTTGTTTTCTTCTATCCCGTTTCTTCTTCATTCCAAGGTGAATATTGGATTGATCCTAATGGAGGCTCAAATAAAGATGCTGTTAAGGTATTTTGTCGATTGAGCTCGGGTGAAACGTGTTTCTCGCCTTTAACTTCTTCCTATCAACAACAACAAAACAATAATACCGATACACACAAAAAGAAATATTCTGATCAACAAGATATTTGGTTCAGTCAATTATATGACGAAAAACAGGTAAGAAAGACAATAATGTTTTTAGATGGTGGCTAATAAAAATATGTGCTTGGCAGTGCTTAATTCTGAAAGTTAGTTCTCGGAGCCCTAGCGTGAAGCTTTAACTAGGGGACTTTAAACATTCCTATTGTGAGGTAGCTGTCCAAAAATGACATTAAATAGTCCTTGAGTTGCATCATGAACTGATTGAAATTGGAAATGCAAACCATCAGATGTCAGTTCAATTATCGAAATGTTAGGCTCTGAAAGTTTTAGCTTTTATCCCCTACCAGGATGAAGCATCTCTCTAATGCTTTCTGTTTTCAAATGATTGTCTATCTAAGGTTAGTTTATGATCTAAACTACAAAGACATGGAGCAGTCATCGAACAAACCTTCTTTTCAGTTTCAATCCTTTATCTCCATATTGATTTAAAATTAGGATATAGGTTTTATAGTTGATCGGTAATATCACTTCACCAATCATTTGACTATGAGTTTAACTAGATGGTATATGAACGAAAGATTAATCCGTAGTGGAATAGCATCACCTCCATGAGTAACGAGTAATTGAAGACCAAACACACATCAGTTTTAACTTAACCTGGAGCACCTTATCAGGTTGCATCCACGATGCCGATGAGTATCGGACCCAGGATTTTTAGTTACTGTAGTAAGTCTGTTGCCTTTAGGTTACTGTTATAGTTTTCCAATGTTATTATCTTTAGTAAATGCTTTATTCTCTTAATGACTGAATTCAGTATCTGTAACTCCTCATTCGCAACTTAAGAGATTCATCTTGAAGCTAGACACCCCTGAGCAGATGACCTACGAATACTAGTCTGACTAGAAAATGATTTACATCAGCTAAGAAACTATTGGGAAGCATCATGAATTTAATTTGGTTTAAACTGTGTACAAAAGGTTGTTGTATCTGACGTAAAACTATTAATTAATCGCAGTTAAAAACCAGTTTTTATCTTTCGATATTTATTTATTACTAAATAGTAATCAATGTTATGTTCCCCTAGTCCTTCGAGGTGGTCGAATTCTATCAATGAAGTTAAGACCAAAAACCTAGATCAGACAGAGCTTTGTAACGATTGTCTTCGACCATCTGATATCAAAACACAGTGGTTGCGCAATATCAAATCACATGCATTAGTGTTCCAATATCAACTAGGTTAATAGAATTTCATCAATACTGAGTATTAAATAAATATTATCAATGATAAGAAGCTTCCTGATTTCTGAAATATGGTTTTTAGTTTAAGTAACCTTCCATCAAGTTATGTTATTTGCTGGTAATGTCATTTAACTTCGACTAAATTGGATTATCTGCTTATTGGCTTTTCCCAATAATTCACATATTTTTACCAAAATATTTCAACATACATTTTTCATCTGAGATAAAATAGATCGATTTCATAAAGTCTATATCTGCCAACATAAACTAACCACCAACTTCCTCCTTGTCATAGATCAGTAGAATATCAAAATCCATAAGCTGGAGTTTATTAGATGAAGTGCTTTTGGTTTATTTTCCTTCTCTGATCTGGGTGATCTAATCGTGAGTTTTTCATCGACTTTCTAGAAGGCATCATCCGTGCAAACTTCAGATTGAAGTGAGCTTTTCAAATTATTCCAAATATCACTAGCAGTTATCAACCCAGATTTTCTAGTGCATCTGTTATAAAGTGGGAAAAATTGATATGAATTGGGCAGATTACTTGGCCGGTCACTTGACTGAATGTAACAATGCGATCGAGTGAAGGCAATTGACAGAATAACTTGTTCGCAAAATATGAGCAATTTTATGTAATTAAAATGATACAGTTTTATAAAAAATTGATTTGATACAAAGTAAATATTTAAAGCTCATAAAAATCGTCAATGATTGGTTAGCTATGGGTTCCGTAAGTCATTCACATACTTATCAAGTGAAGATCTAGCTATCAAACTTACTTGTTTTCTCATCATATCAGTTTCAGAAATGATAATGATACTATGTAAATGACAAAGTCTTATCCGATAAGCTCCTTTTACCCGTTTTTATGCATAAAAAGCTTTTAGTGATCATAAGCAAAGATAGATGGTGGCTAGAAGTGGAGTCCAGGATGCGCGTCTCGTCCTGTCAGCTGGATTTATCTGCATCGCAGAGTTGACGTTCACTACGGGACTCGATTCCAGTACCGTCCACCAACTCTGAAATGCAGGTACATCCAGTTGGTGAGTCCCAAATAAGACGAAACATACGTCCTCGATCCCGCTGCTAGCCATCATCATCTCAGCTTATAGTACTTAAGACTTATGTCAATATCAAGACAGTTCACTCAGGATGCACATATACCAATAACAGACTAATTAATTGCAGTCTTAAACATCAACGAAGTGATTCAAACAAGCAATACAAAATGTATTTTATTAACTTAATTAAAATATTAATTTAAGCATCATTGTATCAATTCATAATGAACTACAACAAGTTATTGTTTTTTGTTAATCACTTTTATTTCGTATAATTTAGTTTACCTATAATATGGAAATGAATCAGATCAACTTTTTACAACTCTTATCATCGAAAGCTAATCAACAATTAACATTGGTGTGCAATAAGATTATTTTCAATGATGAAAATCTGCCACGTTTATTTACAAACAATAATAAGGAATTAACACAAAATGGAGCGATTCTTCGTTATAATTTACTGGAAAACGGTTGTCAGGTAATTAGTATTCATATTATTATTTGTGGACATTGTTGAATTATTTGGAGATAGTGTAAACTATGGATAAAATTTGGTCAAAGAACAATTAAGAATTAACAAGTACTGGGATAGTTGTAGAATCCTTCACATACCTGGGAAGTATCATCGATGAACAAGGAGGCTCAGATGCAGATGTAAAGGTAAGGATTGGCAAATCAAGGACCGCATTCCTACAATTGAACAACATATGGAACTCAAAACAACTTTCAACCAATATCAAAGTCACAATCTTCAATATCAATGTCAAGACAGTTCTACTATATGGAGCTGAAACTTGGAGAACTACTACAATCACCATCAAGAAGGTACAAGTATTTATAAATAGCTGTCTTCGCAAGATACTCAACATCCATTGGCCGGATACCATCAGCACTAGCCTTTTGTGGGAGAGAACAAATCAGCTTCCAGCTGAAGAAGAAATTAGGAAAAGATGATGGAAATGGATGGGACATACATTGTGGAAATCATCAAACTGCATCACGAGACATGCACTAACTTGGAATCCTGAAGGGAGGCGGAAAAGAGGAAGGTCAAAGAACACATTACGTCGAGAAATAGAATCAGATATGAGGATGATGAATAACAACTGGAAGAATTACCCAGGACAGGGTTGGATGGAGAATGCTGGTGAGCGGCCTATGCTCCTTCACGATTAGTAACAGGCGTAAGTAAGTAAGTATGGGACAATTGTTTTATCTTGGTATGAGACAGTAGTTATGACCAGTGGAATTCGATAATGTTGGAAGTAAGATGGATATCATCAGTGACAGTAAATGATGACTTATAATATCGAAAACCGACTAGAGTTATAAGTGAAGACCACTAGATGGTATCTTGATAGTTCTATTGGCTCAGCCTTCTCCACAACATATGAAGGCTCTAGATTTTATCCTTGGTGGGATTTTAGATAAACACTGCTGAGGAACTCAGTACTAGGACGAAAAAGCTGTTTAATCCTTTCTAGTTATTAGTGACCAAAGTTAATCCTTGATGTATACAGGTAATTTTCCTCACGAACTACGTTACTCCATTCAATTTTTGGATCAATTCATTTATGAACAAATATAGTATCATATAAAACTGAACTTACATAATTTGTATGTTCAGTACTAAGCATACCATTACAGCGCCACTAAATTGTAAAAAGTCAAATGATATACATTCTTTAACTAAAGTTAATATCGAGGATCATTTTATTTAAATAAGCTTTTATTCATCATTACATGGTCATCTAAACTTCCATTATTTTAAAAATCATCAATCAGCAGTTTCACCACAATAATATTCATGAAAAAATATAATTTAAATATGACTCCAATTCAGTAGTTTTAAGATTAATCAGCCATTCTGTGTACCGAGGGTCCTAGATTCAATCCAGAGAGTACATTAAACAGCAGTTCTATACAGTAAGATGTAACAGTCATTCACTAATGTATCCAGAAGAATTTAAACGGTGATTAGTTACTAATGAAGACAAACATACACTTTATGCATCATGTTTGACATGGACTAAATGTTTATTCTAAACGACACCGAACTCTATATTTGTGTTATAAAAACTTTTAGTCATCTATACCTGGTTACCAATTAAAACTGTAGGACAAATGTACTGTAATTGTGTAATTCAACGAATGTCAAGTCATCACATTGTTTGTAATTATTCGTTGAATTAAAATATAATTAATCTAACTTATTCTTTATCATAAACACATTATTATAATATTTCGTTTGTTACCATAGTTATTTTTCCTTTCTTTTTGAAAAAAAAAACACAATTACTAATTCAAAAGTCAACAAAATCTACATTTGGAAAGATAACAATTGAAGTGAATACACGACCGCATCGTTTACCATTACGTGATATAATTTTACCAAATGCTATTGATTCACAACAAATTCTTGGTTTGGAATTAGGCAGAGTATGCTTCCAATAGGAAAATACAACATTTATACTTAACAATATTGATAATAATGATTATGATGATGTTAATTTCTGTGTATGAGTCTTCTAAATTTCTATAAAAATAATAAATAAAGTACAATGTATGAAGTATTATTACCATTTTCAAAACTATAATTAGATTGATAAACATTTCTTCACCAAGATTTTGTGATTATTTATATACTTAACACCACTAAATACTAATGTCTATCCTACTGGCTACATCCCACGATTGATCAATCACCACTACTGACTACATATCGTTCATATCGATAACGACTCGAAAAGACAGATTAGTGATATCCGCTTCACTCATCAGCGACATAATTGAACTGATTCATTTCAAAAAATCAAATCAGTATTATATATCACTTTCACTTATCAACTTTGATCTTAACTACTGAGTTGTGCTTCTGTTTTCAGTTATTCAATCTAAAAGTATGATTATCGACAGACTACGTACTTCACCTACAGTAATGTGGTCACTTATTTTAAGCCATTTAACATAATTCAATTCAGCAAACTAAATAATATCTTCAGCCGTAACATGCAGGTATACAGAAGTTAAATATTTCTAATAATTGTGAACAGATCTTCACATTTTATTTACTATCAGAAATCTCATAGCTTTAGATTTTTTATGCATAATTTTTATGCATAATTAAACGTGCTACTCACGAGTAGTAACACATTTAGCATAGATAAAATCCAAAATTTTAAAGGGTATCTCAAGATCGTGAACCGATTGGAGTTAAACATTTGAGCCGTTGAATGTCAGTTCAGTGGTCTAGAGGTTAAGTGTTCGCGCGAGAGACCGTAGGTGCGGGGTTCGAATCTCGCGTGTGAGATCGTGCTGAGTAGTCCCATACTAGGATGAAACATCCGTTCAGATCTTTCAGGTTTTCAATGGTGGTCTGGCTTAAATCGACTCGTAAATTCAACTGTTAAAATACGTTAGAGGGCACAGTACCCCTGTGAACTGGTTAACCAATTGAAAGTTATTCTAATTTATCAGATTTAGGTCATTTGTGATCTATCTTAAACCTATTTCATTTTTACCCGTATGCTTTCACAATTCACTGATGCAACTTGATCAATATCCAAAGGTCAAGACTGCTCACTCCAACTCTGTTAAATCACATCCCATAGCTTTACAATGGTAAACCCATAACGATTTCCAATTGATGTGAATTTGTGATGAACTATTATGACCTCTTGTAAGGTCATCAATGTAAATTCTTTAGGTATTTGAAATATGATTATGATGAAATATACATCTAACATCCTGTCAGTTTTCACTAACTGTACATACACCCATGTCAACTGATATAAGCTCTTGCTGAACACTATCTTTAGGCTATATCCTAAATGAATCGGCAAATTATCCACAGTCAAAGTGTTATACTTCATGATGATACAATCAATATTACCACAAGCAGTTATCTCTCACTTCATATATATTAGTATGGGAATAAAACGTGAAATTATTGTTTGATTAATGTGTAATATTGATTCAGCATATTACTTGTTTCACTAGTAATTCAATTTGATATTTGTGTGATATCTAGTCATTTTAACATTCTAGTGTACAACCGATATTTTTATCCCCAATGTTTCAACTTATGTATGATATTCATTTACGTAAGATGGTGATGATTTGTAGCTCAAGTGGATGATTTTGGTAGTTTTGTTCTCTGAGCTGACTCAGGAAAATAAAATCTGTATATGAATGAGTGTATCTAGTCAATAAGTAGTTGACCTGTTTTTTTTCTTTTGAAGGTGACTAGAATTCTCTTTTATCATCAATTTTTGCTTTTATCGTACAAATATTAATGTTCTCCCTGATTTTTCATGGTTAAAACCATGAATAATGAATTCTAATAGTTTGACAAATGAATAGAAAAAGTTATTTACTCACTAATGATTAACTTTAAAATCAACTGGCAAACTTTTGATAGGAAGTTATGATCGATGAAGTTTAATTAAATTGAAAATGATGAAAATATCTTCCCTATCAATGATACTGGATGATGGGAATATTTTATAACTATGAATTATTCCTAGTAGCTAGAAAAATACATTATCCAGTCAATTTTTTTTCAATAGTTGAAATCATGAGTCAATTGAAGCTAGACCACCATGGAAAACCTGGAAGCACTGGACGACCGTTTCGTTCAACCAGGTCTGTTGTGAGATATCAACTGACTGAAGACAATGATGTGCGGTGGCGCAATATCGTGGATTGGATAAAGTTAGACACTAACACCGTTAGATGCCAGCTCAGTGGTCTAATGGTTTAGCGATCGCACCCGAGACTGATGGGTCCTGGGTTCGAATCTCGTGGGGGCGGGACCGTGGATGCGCACTGCTGAGGAGTCCCGCACTAGGACGAAACGGCCGTCCAGTGCTTCCAGGTTTTCCATGGTAGTCTAGCTTCAATTGACTCATGATTCCAACTATTGGAATTTCTAAAATCTCCACAAAACCCCTTCTCATAATATTTTTTGTATAGAAATACTTAAAAATACTTCAACATATTTTTCCTAAATCACATTGGATAATTCCCAAAAGTTACTATTGATTTTCGAATATTTTCTGCCTAAATTTTAAAATCCATAGGTCACCTGTTGTTTTATAAATACCACTATGTTTTTGTTTTATTTTGTGTGTAACATCCATCTTTTGGTAGGTTCTCGTCCAGCCTGAAATTACTTTATGTGCTAAAGGAGTGTGAGGAGTAATATGTAAAATTAACTTGAAGAGCAAAGAATAAGAGAGAAAGTGAACCGATAACTTAATAAGCACATAAAATGCAATTACATTTAATAACGAAAGTAATCGACAACAATCAGAAATAACTTAAGTGAGAGATTAAAACAACTCCGCCTGTAGCTCTTCTAGAGTTACTGCCGGTCCCAAGCCCGGGTAAAGAAGGAGGGTTAGGCATGGGGTTAGCGTCCCCATCATGTAGAAAACTAACTCGCTAAAAAAACGCTTACCAGAAAAAATAATTCAAACAATTTTAACTCTGCCCTGGGAGTTACAAGGTTTTCATTTAGTCGAATTATGACGCTTGATGGTGAAAACCGAGTTCCTTCGGAAGCCACGAGGCCGATGCCACTTCTAAAAACCAGAGAGAAAATTTTTGTAGGTACACGGAACGTCCGAACGATATGGGAGACCGGAAAGATCAGTCAAATAGCAATGGAAATGAGGAGATACAATTTGGCAGTACTGGGAATCAGCAAAACCAATTGGATCCAAGCTGGATAGAAAAGGATAGCTACAGGAGAGATGCTGCTATACTCCGGTCACGAAGAGGAAAATGCTCCACACACTCAGGGAGTCGCTCTAATGCTGTCCAAAGTAGCACAAAATGCACTTGTAGGATGGGAATCTCACGGGTCCAGAATCATCAAGGCATCATTCAAAACAAGGAATGGGGGATTTTAATGAATATTATCCAATGTTGTGCTTCCACCAATGATAGCAACGACGACATTAAAGATCAATTCTACGAGCGGCTGCAGTCAATCATTGAGAAATGCCCAAGAAAGGACCTCACCATTCTAATGGGAGATCTAAATGCCAAAGTCGGAATAGACAACACCGGATATGAAGATATTATGGGACAATATGGACTGGGTGAAAGAAACGAAAATGGAGAAAGATTTGCAAATCTATGTGCATTCAACAAATTGGTCATAGGGGGCACAATATTTCAACACAAGCGTATACACAAGGCTTCATGGATCTCACCGGACCACACTACAGAGAACCACATAGATCATATTTGCATCAACAAAAAATTCCGAAGGACAATGGAAGATGTGAGAACCAGGAGAGGAGCTGACATAGCTTCAGATCACCACCTAGTTGTAGCCAATTTAAAACTGAAGCTAAAAAGGAACTGGACAACTGGACAGACAGCAATACAAAGGTTCAATACAGCCTTCCTTCGAGATACTGACAGACTCAATGAATTCAAGATAGCTCTCAACAACATGTTCCAAGCCTTACAAGATCTACTAAAGGAAGAGGAAACTACTATGGAAGACAACTGGAAAAGTATCAAAGAAGCATTAACTTCAACGTGTCAAGAGGTCCTGGGCCTAAAGAAACACCATCATAAGGAATGGATCTCTATAGAAACACTGGACAAGATCAAAGAAAGGAAGAACAAGAAGGCAGTATTTAACAACAGCCGAAAACGAGCAGAGAAAGTTCAAGCACAAGTTGAATAAATAGAAGCAAACAAGAAAATGAAGAGGCATTAGAACAAACAAGAAGAAGTACGTGGAAAAACTAGCAAAGATGGCTGAAAAAGCTGCTAGAGAAGGAAAGATGAAACAGCTTCACGATACAACGAAGAAACTAGCAGGGAAATACAGTAAACCAGAGAGACCGGTCAAAGACAAAGAAGGCAAGCCAATCACTGAAACTCAACAACAGCGGAACAGTTTGGTAGAATACTTCGAGGAATTCCTGAATAGGTCGGCTCCAACGAACCCACCTGACACCGGAGCGGCACACACAGATATTCCCATAGACGTCAACCCACCAACGAAGGAAGAAATCAGAATGGCCGTCAGAAAAATCAAGAACGGGAAAGCAGCAGGACCGGACAACATACCAGCTGAAGCACTGAAGTCAGACATCGAAGTAACTACAAACATGCTTCACCTTCTATTCAAAAAGATTTGGGAGAAGGAACAAGTGCCGATGGACTGGAAAGAAGGACACCTCGTCAAGATTCCAAAGAAAGGAGATCAGAGCAAATGTGAAAACTAGAGGCATTACACTGCTGTCAATACCAGGGAAAGTCTTCAACAGAGTGTTGCTGAACCGGATGAAAGATGCAGTAGACGCCCAACTTCGAGATCAACAAGCTGGATTCCGTAAGGATCGATCATGCACAGACCAAATTGCAACACTACGGATCATCGTCGAACAATCAGTTGAGTGGAACTCGTCACTATACATCAACTTCATTGATTATGAAATGGCATTTGACAGTGTGGATAGGAGGACGTTATGGAAACTTCTTCGACACTACGGAGTTTAGATGGTGGTTGGAGGTAGTCAACAGGAAACCCTGGACCCGGGTTTC